TTAAATTTGCACAAGTGAACAGAGCGAGGAATGAAGAGCAAGAAGAAATTTGAGAAGAGTAATATTTATGTCGAACTTGATAGACGCTTTCTGGCTTATGTTTCTTTCTTTTCTCCATCGAACGTGAATAAAAGTTCTAATGCTTTGAAAATAATAATAAATATTCATTGGACAGCGGCGTAGCAAGAAGTTCAAGAGAGCACGACAGGTGCTTGATTTAAGCATTAGATTTGCTTACACTCGGGAGAGGGGATCCAGTACCTAGCTCGATTAAGCCTTAGCTACGCCACTGACTTTCCAAGAAAATTTGAATTTATTGATTAGGATGTAAATGAGAAGGAAATGCTATAATAAATATGAATTTTCGATTTTCATATTTTCAAGAATATAAAAGTACACAAAGGAAGATGATGAAAATTTTGGAAATATTGATTTTTTTTAATTTTATTACACGTTTCACCACTTCGTTATTTATGACATCATAAATATATTTAATGTCAAGCAGATTTGGATTATTTCGAGTGAGTCATTCTTTCCCATCATTTCCCCCATCGTTCCAGAAGTGAATGTACTCATATATAATTTTTTTAACTGACTGACTGAAGCACCTGATAAGGATGTAAAAATTTGCAATAACTTTTGAGGAGAAAAATGAACAAATTTAAAGGATTAAGTGCTCTCAGTTTAAAATGCGTCTATTGCAAGTCTGTAATTTATAGTAAATCTGACATTTCTATCATTTATTTCTTGCATATGCTCCAACTCGCTCTGTTCATGCTGCGATTTTATTTGCTTAATATAATGGAATCCAAGACGAAGGAAATGAATGAGAAATGGAATAAAAAGTATGAACATGCATTTCAAGTACAATGCTTCTCACACTTTCTGCCAAATGTTTTCGTTACTTGCTATTGGAAATCAAATAAATAATAAAAATGTTATGGATTTTTTTTCGCGACATCGACATACATAAAATGAAAATATAATAAAGGTGCTAAAGCAAGCAATCTTTCCCTTGTGACATGCTTTTTTTTTCGTGGTGGAATGAATGAATGAATTTATTCAGTTTGGAGGACACGAGCAATGTTTACATTTTCTTTGTTAATAATGTGTTTTTTTTTGGTGCGAGTAAGTTTTTTTTCTGTGTTCGGAAAAATAATAATGACGAAATTTTAATGTCCTAGCTGTAAACGCACATCCCCGGCAATAACAAGAATCACAATATTTTTTTATGTATTAACAAACATTTTGCTCTGTCTTTTTATTATTTTTTCGTTGAGTTATCAGAGACAAAGCAGGAGTAATTGTCATCCACGGTTAAATATTGACCATGAGCCATCTCCTTCCTTGCTACACCACTGTGACCTATATTGACATTGTCGGAAGAGCATTTCGCTTTAGTACTTGAAACATATCAAATTAAAATGTTGCGATCTTAAGCACACTTGCTAAAACACTCTTTTTCTCTTCATTTCCTCATCATTGAATTTCATACTCGAGTTTTCTAGAGCAAACATTATCATTTACCGAAGAATGAAAGGAAAAAGAGATGTAAAGAACTCAGAGAAAAACCCACAAACAAAACAAAAAAAGAGTGTTCTCAACTGACATGTAGAGGTTCCATTTAAAAAGGTATAATTTGTACGAAAGTAAGCGATAATAGATTTCAGTAATGAAAAGGGATGTGATGTATGCCAAAATAAAAAGGAGTTTGCATAAAAAATCTTAAGGTCTAGAGCTGATTTAGGATGTAAAAGCAACCATCACATCAATCACTTAAATCAAAGAGAATCTCTACAAAAATATAAGACGAGGAGTGAGAAAATTTATCTTCAAACCAGATGAATGAGCTTATACATCAAACAGTAATGTCTTCTTCGTCAAAAATTAATCAATGATGCATTTAAAGCTCTTCTCTTATTCATTTTCTTACGGATATCCTTACACACATTGCCTCAATGACGGTGATATATACAGGAAATTAATTTTGCAGAAAGTAATCGAGTCAACAAATATTCATTCATATTGTGTAGGATGAAAAGAATATGGAAACGGATCATAATGCATTCTGCCTCATTTTTTTCTCATTCGTGTTGATAATTTCATGAAAATGGATTTATTTATGAATGAAATAAAGTGTAGATGTTACTCTCATCATGCAGCATGAGAATAAAATACTCATTAAAACTAATGCCACTAGTGGCCTTTCGAAGTAAATCGACAGAGAAAAATTTCGGCTCGTCATGATAAAAGGAAAGAATTCTTAAGAAAAGTTTATGACTCGTAAGATATTTGGTTATTTTTGGTTATCAAGTAGAAGTACTAATTGAATGTTTTTTGGATCTTCATGGGTCTTTAAGTGATATGCTACATTCTTGCAATACTTCTTCTTATTTATTGAATTTTTTGGATAGTAAAAATATTTTGGTTTGTCTGCGCAACAATAGCGTCTCGCTAGGAGAACTGTTTTTGTTCAAACCCCCTTTTCAAAGTTCTGGCTACAACGCTGGTTCTCATATTTTTCCCATAAAATTTACTAGCAAAGTTTTTCATTGATTTTCCAGCCATTAAATTTTTACTCCTTCTAATGAAAATTGGTTAAGTTTGCAGACTTACTTACTTACTTGCTATAAGATTTTAATTATTTCAAGTGAAACTTTTTCTTCCTTTCAATCTGCATGGCGAGTTGGTTGGAATATTTAATTTATTTTTCTGCTTTCTTACAAACTTCAAGCTTTGAAGTGATTTTATTATTCTAAGAATCGAATTTGATCTTTTGAAATTTAATTATGGAAAATTGTTTGAAACTTCTCGCTGAATTTTAAAAAGTTTTAAGAATAATTGCGACAAAAATCGCTCATTTTCAATTAAGGAATAAATTTTGCGGTTAATGGGGACTTCTGCATTTACTCAAGAATATCTTTTTGGTAATGGATTGTAAATTTCCATTAAAAATGTTCCTCATAACTTTTATCCTTACATAAATTATTTGGTATGTAGAGAAGCCATAACTCTTTTCTTGTTGTAGGCTTAATCATCTTCTTAGTAAATAATTTCGAAGCTTGAATAATTCATTTAGAACATTCTCAAACTTCCGGTGCTACAATATTTTTTATATTCCAAAAACTTAATCATGTTTAAAGCATTATCCTCACTTTATAGCTTACAAACTCGTACAATTTCTCAATCTGATAAGACTCTATTTCCTCATTTAAACACCTTCCCATCCTTAAAAACGAAATGATTACTTCCATCATGCCGATAATCTTTCATCTCAATGTTATTCAAAAGAGAAAAAAAAAAAATTCTCCACCCCAAAAAATTAATCTTAATCATAATCTGACATTTACTTAATCAATGAAATGTCCCCCCTTTTTTTCTTACAGCAGTACGTAACAGAAGGAAAGGAGACCCTTCTGTTATTAAACAAGATTCCATTTCCTAACACTTTTTGTTACATTTTCGCACACAGTGGCTTGATGAAAAGAGAAGGATATTATTTACATAACGGAGAAAATAATTTAATATTTGCTTTAAGGGACTGAAAGGCTCCGTAAAAAAAAGAGAGGAAAATCAAGAAGTTTAAAAATATAAAATGAAGTAAAGAAGGTAGAAGAAGACTTTATGAAAAAAGAATTATTCCACGTGCATACATGAATGTATGTGAAAGTGTAGAAAAACACGCAAGTACGACGTCGAAAATCATGGAAAATCGCACATCGAAAATTCATTTTTTTCTTCTCTTCTTCTCTTCTATTTTAGCATGTTACATACCGCCCGCACATAATGTATAATTTATATTTCTTATTGTTCCATCCCTCATTCGCGCTCTTTTCTCATTCTTCTTTTTCAGCTGTTGTTTTATTTTTCTTTTACTTGCGTTGATATAGAGACAGTTATGATGAGTTTTCAAATTGATATGAATTTATGGTTTCTTCTTTGTAACTAGAGAAAGGTCTCTCGTTAGGTATGATGTGGTATATGATTATCGATCCTTGTTTAAGGACGAGATAATGCTCGGATTTAAATTGTATTTGGATTAAATTAATAATAAGCTTCAGCTTGTAAACGACTTTCAGTCATAAACTATATCTTTTTGAAAATAAATTATGGATGATATTCATGGATGTTTACTGGATTTTATAAAAAATTGGCCTGGATCCTATTAAATTGAACAAAACTGGTCTGAATGGTCACTGGATCTTATAGAATTGATCTGGATGTTTACTGGATCTTATAGAATTGAACAAAATTGGTCTGGACGTTCGCTGGATCTCATAAAATTGACCAAAAGAGATAATCCCCATAGAAGCCTAACAAACACCATTTTAAATTCATCCCATCATATATGACAGAATTTTCCAATAATATTGATGAAAAATTCTCGATAATTTTAATTTTTTAAATCCAAAAATCATCAAATTTTAATGAATTCATTTCATGCATTAATAAAATGACATTTTCGAAAATTCCCCTCCATTTATGATTCAAAAGTGAATGACATAATTATGCCATGTCTCTCATCAATTGCTTCCATACAATTCAATCGTATACCTTTACAATAGAAAGTTCTATAAAAGTAGCAATTTATAAATATATGAAGATTATCGCAATTGTTCTCGCAAACGTTCTTTGGATATAAAAACTTATGATATTTTTTGCTATTCAGTCGTGTTTCCTATTGTGTTATAAATTCTTTATTCATTTCAAGAAAGTGATTGCATGAAATGAAATAATAATAAAGTATGAAGAGATGATGGTGATATAAATGAGGAGTCAAAGAAGAAGAGAATGAAGAAAAGAAAGAAAAAAAAAGTTTTAATAGCTTTTTTTTTTCAAATTACTCTATCTCTTCATATCTGTATACACAGTTTTAGTGTAAGGATGCGAGAAGGTAAAAGTTTCATAAACTAATTAATTACGGTTACAAATAAGCGCGAGAAAAGGAGGAAATTAGATATTTCAATCACCTGAAAAATAAAACCTCAACCAAAACTCACCTTTTTCAATGTGAAATCATTGGGCCTTAGAGTCTCTTCGATTTCTTTATCACAGCGCTGTTGTGTCGATTGAACGGAAGATCTAAATCCGTCCAGGACTCCCTTAAATGTAAACTTTTTCATGTTAGTCCGTGCGACTTTCCAAAGCTCCTTTTCCTTTTTTGGTTCAATGGTGGCGACTTTTTTATTACTTTCAGCACCTTCACAAAAAATATTATTTATTTATTTGTCTACACTAAATTATCGTTCGCTGGATATTATATTGGATTATTATTTTTTGCTTTTTATTTGATATTATTATTATTCTTCTTGATGCGTATGATGTATGGTATGGTATCTCGTAAAAATTTATTTTCTTTAACTGTCAAAATTATTATTGCTCATTCATTCACACATACGTGACAGTTTTATGAGTGTGTGTGTGTATGTATAAATTTTGACGGCAAGGTCGATTTTAGGATAGTTTGAAAGTGTCCTTTCCTCTATTGACGTTGTGGAATGATTCACGAAGTTTACATTTTCCTATCGTCATTCCTATATTAAATATCTTTCAGCCACAATTGTAATTATATTTACTTTTTATGAATATCGTGAGTTGAATCTGTGAATGAATGAAACATTTTTCATTTTCTTGTCTTGCCTTCCTTTTGACAATTTTTTTCTCCCCAATTTTCAAGATAAGGAAAAATGTCTTGGTCTCGAGAGGAAAGAAATTATTGTCATTTTTTCCCACTCTCCGGTTTCTTTAAAAAAAAAGAATGTTTATTTCATAAAATGGAGCGACAAGGAGATGAAAAATAATGCACAATCATTTAAAAGCTTTCTTTCAACGAGAAAGAATAGAAAAAAATTATTTAAATGACACAGCATTATGCTAAATATGAATCCTAAGCATGAAACTAGACAAACATTTGAAGGATTTTTTTTCCAGTCTATCTTCTTCTAATGCTTCTCAAACACAACTGGGAGATTCTTCTATTAAGCCTTCTTTAAGAAATTATTTAAATATGGATATATGATATATGCTAATGTTGAGAATGACGTGTGTATGCGGATTTGGGACGTTTTTGACGACAAAAAGCTAATCTCTAGCATACGTAAGCTTAGGAAGCTCGTAAATTGTATTCAAACCTTCTTACTTCTTTCTAATTCATTAAAAAGGCATAAAAAAATCTTGTAAAATCGGTGAATCTTTTTGATGATTGTAAAGATTTTCTTATTATTTTGCTGAAGAGATATTGATTGGATATTAAATCTTAAAAACTTTCCTTTTTATAAGACTTTTTTTAAATTGATTATTATTAACAAGGATGGTTTAAATTGAGTACAAAATGAATATCAAGTGTATTTTCTCGAATAGAAACCGAACTTTTGGAACTTTAATCTTCAGTTCCCACATAAATAAATCAATAAAGTTCATATCTTATAAATAAGCAATAAAATAAATTGGCTTTGAGGTATAATTTTGATTTTTTTTTCTTTCTCCACTAAAAACTTTTTAGAGCTTGACACACCTTGACTGACCATACATAGTGAGCATTTCGGGCAAGCTAGTAAAAACTTTTTCTACAGTTATAATGATTTGCCAAAAACAGTATCGAATCTTTTGCGAACATAAGTTCACATGTAATTAAACATTTTCACCCATAATCGTATTTTACAAACTTTTTAATGCTTCATGACTGAGCTTTTAATCATTCAAAGCGAAATGGAAGCAGAGAAAGCAGTTAACAGTGAAGTATATGTAATTATATTGATGCACAGCTATTTCGTTTAAAGTATTGCCTTAATCTTGTTAGGTTGCTAAGACACAACTTATTTACTTTTCAAAGACTTTTCTATCCACTTTAAATATCTAATTTCTATAACGTTCTGAGAAATCAATTTCTGGTTCCGCTCTTTGATCATCAAAAGGATATATCTTTCATGTCGAATTACTTTTTTTACTAAATACTTAATGTGATTAATAATATTTTTTTTGTGGTCAATGTTCATCATTAACTACAATATTTATGTTAAAATTGAAGTTAAAATAAGCATTGCATGACTATGTATTTCATTTAAAAAATTAAGTTCCATAAATAACTGAGAATGTACTTTTCTTCCTTTTCCGAAATGAAGTACACGGCTTTTTAATAAATTCACTTTAAAAAGTCCTTTGGAAGTGTTCGGTAATTATGTATATCACTATAAAAAGTAAAAGCACATTAGAATGAGAATAAGCGAATTTGGAAATTATGCTAATGCCGTAAAATGCGAACGAAACTAACGATTCTAATTTTTGTATCCGCACAAAAATTCCTATTTTCTCACAGGAATATTATATACCATTTACAGATTTAATTCGATTGGTATTAAATTTATAACTCAAATCAACTTATCACAAAAGAATCTCCCAGGAGCGATAAGAAGGTAAGCGAAAAATTTTCATGTCGAAGACGCACTTTTGGATACTTTTTTTTTGCTTTATGCAAAAAGCAGAAGGAGAGACAAGAACGGAAAGTTTTTTTTTTCCTGTCCTGAATCAATAAAATTCAATTTTCACTTGATTATGGCCAAAAGGAACAGGCAGAAAGAAAGCATTTTTATTTGTGTATACTGAATCGAGTTCAAGAAAAATGAATGAAAAAAAGTTTTTTTTTATTACAACTGTGTAGTGAAATAACAAACGGTATAGTAGATAGTTAAAAAAATAAAAAATATTCTTTTTATATATTATCAGTATAACGCAAACACAAAACGTTTACACAGTTTGAAATTTCAAGAACGATTAAATTGTAAAAGAAAAAGCTCTTGGAAGGAAATGTGAAATTTTTAGCACGAATATTTTTTTTCCTTCCATCGTTTGATGAAATTAGTGCGCAAATGCGGCAATTTTGCTGCTGTTATCTAGAGAAAAAAAAGTGTTTTTATAGATTTTTGACTTTTTTTTCTCTCTTTTGCATGAAACGATGTGAAATTAAAAAACCAAAAAATTTTTTGATGAGTATGTCGTAAAGTTTATGTGCAGTTTTAACAATAAACAATTTTTAAATCACTTTTATGTAATTTTACAATTTTTCAGCGTTGTATAACACTTCAAACCACTACTTTTGATATCAGACACTCAATTCACATTTTTACGAGTCAACATTTCAACTGCGAATGAAATTTTTCATTGGAAAGGTTTTTCTGATATGAGAAAAAAAAAATATGCTTTGCAGAAAATATTTGCCATCCCTTTTTAGTCATGATTTTTGCAAATGCGCATTGACTTTGTGGTAAAATGTGTTAATTTCTGAGCGCTCGTATGTAGTATAAACATAAAGCTCAGCATTGACATTGTTTTCATTTTTGTAATGAGAATATTAAAAGTTAAATCTAGTTAAATCAAATTCTCAATGAACGATACTTTGTCATCATCAATCTATACATGTATTATGTGCGTGATATCATCTCCAAGCTATAAATGTGTTCTCATACATGAAAGCTCTGAGCAAAGCAGAAACAAAAAAAAACACATCACTAAATCAAATTCACAAATATTTGAGTCATTCATCGATTGACCATGTAGTAACACATTATATTTTTAACTTATTAGCAAGTAACTTTTCTCGACATTGATAGTCAGTCTATATAGCAAATTAATATTGTTAAGATACATGCGATTGTGTCACTTAATATTCTATTACTTCATTATCTTATTCGATTTTCCATAAACTGCCACAACATCCGATTTGTAAGAGTCACTAATGAAAATCGTAAGCATTCATCCTTTTTGCTTACTTCAACACGACAGACAAACAGTAAAGGAATTTTTTTGGCGAGGAATTAAAATGTGTTGGTAGAAAGAGACGTCTGCAGTTGCTTTATTTCTATTAATTTTCCAACAATTCCAAAGAATTTTTTTTTGCAATTTCTTATCACCAAATAAGTAATTATGAGAAAAACTTTAAAAACAATTAAAAATACTGAATAATTTTGCTCGACTTTTCACTTTTCTAATAAATTTCTTTTCATGCTAATTACCAGCAACAAAATTATGTAGCTTATATTAATTAGTGCAGATAAATTTCACTTCAGCTGTCATGAAGTCAAACGAGATACCATAAAAATAATTTTTTTATCAAATAAATCACAATATAATCAATAATTTTCCACAGCTCCATATTTCACTTATTAATATTCACCTTAGCTAAGTGCTTGATTGTTCAATTAACTTGAAATTCAATGATAAAACACGAAAATCTTTTTTTCAATTTTTATTCTCTTTTGCCTTTTGTTTTTTTCACTATCTCGACTGCGATGAAAACAAACCCTTGTAAAAATGTATGCACATCATATGCCTTATCACTGTTAAATGTAGTACAACTTATATTGTTTAATAAATACACAGAGCTATCATTAAATAAATTTACTATTTCTTATCACTGAATTTAATTATTATTTATTCTTTATTTTCATTTTTATATGGTTACTAGACCCTTGAAAATGCTTAAATTTTTAAAATATCGTTATTAAAATATTGAAGTTTTTAAAATTTCCTTAAAATAAAGATTAGGGGTCGTTCACTTATGACGTCCGAATTTATTGGTCATTTTTCATAAAATGGATTTCCAGGAATTTCTATTGTTCTTTTCTTACTGACCCCCCCCCCCCCCCTGGATGTCATAAAAGAACGGCACCTAGAGTTTTTATTTTATGGTCATTTTGAATATTTACTACAGCTACCAATCTGACTCTTCTGTTAACAACTTTCTCTAGCTCGCACCTTCAACATGATATTCTCCTCTGGTCCCAATACAAATTGTCTTTTCTCAAACTTGATTTCATTGTCCATCAAACTCTTATCAGCTAATTCAAATGAAAATTTTGACAAAATCATAGCTAGACCAAGTTTTGTCTGTAATTTTCCCATTCGTGCACCAATGCAGTTCCTGTCACAAAAAATTAAATAATTGAATTTAAAAATCAAAATGTCAAAATTAGGCAAACCTAGGTCCATCCCCAAAAGGCATGTAGTACAACCCTTCCGACTTTCCATTTCCATTTGGTGAATCTATAAATCTTTCTGGCACAAATTCCATTGGATTGTCATAAACTTCAGGATCACGTTGAATTGCTAGTATAGGTATAAATATTTGAGTGCCTTTCTCAATAGTCCAATTAGTTCCACTAAATGTGTGATCTTTTGTACATTCTCGAAATATTACAGGAACAATTGGGTATTTTCTAAGTGCTTCATCAATACAACAGTCTAGATACTTCATTTTTCCTAACATCTCATAAGTAAGCTCTTTAGAATTAGATGCTTTCATCACTTCATCAATCTCTTCTTGAACTTTCTTTTGAATTTCTGGATTTTTACATAACTCAAGTAAGCAGAAGTTTGATGTCGAACTGGATGTTTCAAAACCTATAGAATCGATAATTCAAATTCAGAGGCATGACAAACCTTAAAACTTACTAATTTCAATTGAGAGGCATGACTTGCAATAATTTATAGCTTGCCTACTAATTATAGATTAAAAAACTACTTACCGGCAATAAAGAATAAAAAAGCTTGTGCAACAACATCATTAAATGTCAACTTTTTCGTATCTATTTTCTTATTTGTGCTGATTTCATTGTCAACAGTATTATCATCGTCATCCTTATCAGCTGATATAAAGCCTTGGTTCTTTAGTTGAATCAATAGTTGCATGAAATCTTTTCTCTCAAAATCTTTATTTCTTTCTCGATGTTCAATAGTTTGTTGTACAACAGACATAAAGAAGCTTTCTATTTCTTCAGGTGTGATTTTTATTTTAATGTTAAGTTTTTCACGTAAGAATCCAAAAATATTAGGTAAAAAGAACGTAAATGCCCTCATGATGCTTCTCTTAAGGCTTGGTTTAAAGATTTTAATTCCAATTTTACGAAAAATATTTTCTCGGTCATTAATGCAATCATTCTCTATTCCAAAAGCGACTGAAGAGATAACATTTGTAGTAAAACGAGCCAGTAAGTCCCGAATGTCAAACACATTATTTCCATTTTTGACTTCTTTTCCAATATAATCTTGAAGAACTTGACCACAATCACGAATTGTTGGGTACATGCCTTTAAGTTTTCCACTTGTAAAAGTTGGTGATAGCTTGACTCTCAAGTCTCTCCATTTTTGACCACAAAGTGTGAATAAATGTGCAGATAAAGGATTAGTTTCCTCATCAACAGGTAAATTTCGATCATGGAAGCTATTAAAGTTTTTAATTATTATTTCCTGAATTATTACTGGATCATTTACAACTAAAGCTGGTCGATAACTTAAGTAAATCCCCAAAATTTTATGTTCCTTAAATTTTTCATAAAAATCTTGAAAGATTAATCCAAAAGGCTTTGTTGCTAGTGCCACACTCCCAAATTCACCAACAATAAACCTCGGTTCTTTATATGGAATTTCACGTTTTGACCAATAACTGAAAAAGTATTGGTTCAGAAGATAAATAACAGCGACAAATAGTGCAACAAAAATCCAGAATTCCATCTTGTCACTATGAATGAATGTACGAGACTGAGTATAAAAGTGCTGATTCATTTTATTTAAGTAGCAGAGTATCAGAGGAGCTAATTTGAGTTATTTACATGATAAAGTTTCAAGGCGTTCACACTACTGAAACTTCTGGAAATTTCCCAAAAATGTATAAGACTTCTGGAAGTTCCGGAAATTTTGATTTTGGAAATTTTATGTCCTTATAGAAGTTTGTAAAGGAATTTAAGTCTTTTCTTACCTTGGGAAACATCCGGAAGTTTCATAAGTGTGTATGCCTTGATTTTTACTAAGAGTCGTTCATTAATGATGTCCAATTATTCTGTGTAAGACGAAAAGATTATTTTTGAATCAAAAGTAGCGAGAGGCTCTTCACTTATCTATTTTTTGTGGGAGCCCCATTAATGAACGACCCCATTGAGACTTTTTTAATAAGAAAGCAGTGATTATTAAGTAGCTATCAATTTTGTTTTTATTATTATCTTCTTGTCGTCATGAAACATCATAAAAATCATTCTAAAGTTCACATACGAGGAACTGCCTTTAGCATTATGCTATCTTTTGGTGCCAAAATATTGTTTGTTGCATCATATTCTAACTCACTGTGCATCATATTTTTATCAGCAAGTTCAAATGAAAACTTTGACAAAATCATGGCAAGTCCGAGTTTTGTTTGTAATTTTCCCATTCGTGCACCAATGCAGTTTCTAATTTATGTACAGAATGATTTAACATATTTTTATAAATAATTAGATGATTGTCTTACCTAGGTCCATCTCCGAATGGCAAATAAAAAACTCCATTTGATTTTCCATTTCCTGTTGGCGAGTCCAAAAATCTTTCAGGTCGAAATTCTATTGGATTTTCGTAAATTTCAGGATCTCGATGAAAACCTAATACGGAAATAAAAACACTAGTGCCTTTTTCAATAGTATATTTAGTTCCTGGGAATGTGTGATCTTTGCTGCACTCTCGACTTAAGCTAGGTACAATTGGGTATTTTCTTAAAGCTTCATCAATGCAACACTCGAGGAACTTCATTTCTCCCAACATATCATAAGATATTTCTTTGGAATTTGCTTTTTTTGTTACTTTGTCGATTTCATCTTGAACTTGCTTTTGAATTTCTGGATGTCGACTTAACTCAAAGAGACAGAAATTTGATGTTGAACTTGATGTCTCAAAGCCTGTAAGTTAGATTGGTTAATAATAAGTTTTTATTGAAGCTCAAGGTCAGCCCATACCAGCAATAAAGAACAAGAAAGCTTGTGCTGCAACTTCATTGAAAGTCAATTTTTTCAAATCACTTTTGGTATTTGTTTCCATTCCGGATTTATCATCAAGTGAATTATCTTTATCAGCTTTAATGAAGCCTTGATCTTTAAGTTGAATAAGTAATTGCATAAAATCCTTTCTTTCCAGGTCTTTATTCTTCTCACGATGATCAATTGTTTGCTTGACAACTGACATAAAGAAATCTTCTATATCTTGTGGAATTCGCTTGGTTTTGATTTTGAGAGATGTAAACAATTTGGGTATAAACACGAATATTAGACCTAAAAATACTTGCTTAAAGTTCCTGTTAAAAATTTTTGCTCCCATTTTTCGGAAAATATTTTCACGGTCATTAATGCAGTCATTATCAATTCCAAAAGCGACAGAGGAGATAACATTTGTGGTAAAACGAGCCATTAAGTCTCGAATGTCAAAAACATCATTTCCACTTTTCACTTCTTTATCAAGATAATCTTGAAGTACTTGAGCACATCCTCTAATAGTTGGATACATTCCCTTTAATTTTCCAGATGTAAATGTTGGAGACAATTTAACTCTTAAGTCTCTCCATCTTTGACCAGTTAGAAGGAACAAATTTGCTGTCAAAGGATCGACTTCTTCATCGACAGTAAAACTTCGATCATGAAAGCTTGTAAAATTTTTTATTATCAAATCTTGAACCAAGACTGGGTCATTGACTAAAATAGCTGGTCTATAACTGAGATACAATCCAATAATCTTATGATTCTTATTTTTTTCGTAAATATCACGAAAGAATTCACCAAAAGGTTTTTGTCCAAAAAGTATACTTCCTAAATCTCCCAATATAAAAGTTGGATCATTGTTTGGAATTCCACGTTTTGACCAATAACTAAAGTAATGCTGATTAATTAAATAAATTAAAGCAGCAAAAATTGCTACAAGAATCCACAAAACCATGTTTAATAAACACCCAATACTTTAATACTGAATGACATTATTAAGATATTGTGTTTTTATACAAGAACAAGATCTTGATATAACCTAGTGCGGTTGATTACTTATGACGTCTATCAAAAATAGGATTTTTCTTTATACTTTTGTTCCAATTTTTTTTTTTGGTTTTAAGGCATCACAGAATCTTAGACCCGTTGCCTACCCTAAATGATAGACATCATAAATGAAAGACTCCAACCAACACAAACATTTTGTTAGTATTGACTTTATTTTGGTTTCATTCTTCACTTCAGATCATTAAAATATTATTATAATGATAGCCTTATACGGTGTGATTACTCATGTGAGCTCGACATACAAAAAGGAAAACACAATTGTTTGCAGATAAAGCATTTGGTTTGCCATTATTGCATCAGAAAATGTTTAAATGTTGAGTTAAGGTTATTTGGAGGAAAAACCTGATTTGCCTGCATTTTTTAAGGAAAAACAAATTTAAATTTTTTAATAAACCCTTTCTGGAAAAATTTCTAGCTACACCGCTGAAGTGGGTGCAAAGATGATCTTAAAAATTAATCATTTAAAAAAGTCTTTTGTTTCGAGTTCTTAAATTCTTTGGATTTTATTTAATTCTATTGAAAATAAGGTAATTATTGAACAAAATTTTGATTCATTTATGGCATATTTAATATTTCAATTTGTTGTAATAGAACTCTTTATTTTTTTGTATTTTTTTATCAATTTTTTTAAATGTCACTCCTTCTTTCTCTTAGTTCAGATGACATACACCGCATTCAACATGTCCAACTGACATCTGAGGTGTAATCTTTTCATTTACCTCGTTGATCTTGAAGTTTCTGATGCATCCCTGGAATGGTTGTCTTCCTTTAAGACCTCTGATTTTAGCTAAATGTGGATGTCCTCCAATGAAGAGTGGACGTGTTGTATCTACCACTGTGTGCTTATCAGGGCTTCCGACGTTTGGTTCAGATGAGAATTGATCTGAAAATAAGGAAATGGTGATTAATATTAAAATCTTTAATGCTTTACAAGCTTTAACTTACCAACGTTGATCGATAAGATGAATCTAGACTTAATGACAGTAACTGTATGCCAGTTTCCATCGCAAAGACTCTTGTCAGGATCTGGTTGGAATATAACATTTCTAGGTCCATCACCACTATCGACGGAGAAGTGAACATTTCCTTTAATCATCTCAACAATGAAGAAGGACTTCTTTCCATGAACTGATGTAAGTACACCTGTGAGATTTCTGGGCTTAATATCCATGCTGATTGTAAGATCACTTCCAACTTTGAATTTGTCGCGAAGCTTAACAAAACCTCCACTTTTACCGAAGAATACACCACTTTCAATTAAGTCTGAGCATGGCAAAACAGCTTCTGTTGGGAATTCTGAAAGCTCAAGTGGCTGACCATTAAGTGCTACATCCTTAATACATCCAAAGTATGCATTATTTGTGAAATGTCCCTTATCAAACTTAAGATTTATTTCAATATCTTCTAAGTCCTTCTCATTTGGACCGCCACCAACAAAGTAATTCCTCTTGAAGTCATATGGCTTGCATTTCAATTCTTGCTTCTTTTCATCTCCATTCTCATCTCTCAATGACACAACTCCCTTCTCCTTCTTAAAGTTAATCGTGTGCCACTCATTATTATCGTATTGCTTATCAGAAATGATGCTGATTCTTGCACCACGACAGTTGAAAACGTAGTTAATGTAGCCATCCTTTAAGTACACAGCAATGAAATCAGTTTGTCTTTCATCTGATGCATAGAAGAGTAAACCATTTTGTCTTTCAGTTCGGAACTTGAGTGAAAAGTCAAATGATGTCTTTGTGATGTCTGGTTCGGATGCATATTCAATATAACTGAATTGTTTTGCACCAAATCTAAATCCAGCTGATTCGAAGTCAACATCATAATCTGGAATGGCTGGAAGATAACATTCTGGATTCTTTTGATCAACTGTATAAACTGGTTTGGGCTTGGCAGTTGTTGTTGTTGTAGATGTTGTAGATGTAGATTCTGTTGTAGTCAAAATTGTTGTTGGTTCCGTTATTATTTGTTGTTCTTGTTCTTGTGTTGTTAATGATGTTGGAACTGGAGTTGTTGATGTGGTAGTTCTTGATTTATCAACTGGAGCTAAATCGTCTTCTTTGAATCGTACATCAATCAAATCAGTTACTGGTTCTAAAACTGAGCTTTCTGATGTTCCATCAGGATAATAGAATGGTACAATATTCTTATCATACTCAATAATGTCTCTTGGGCAGCTATTGAGAACGGCATTAACCTTATCTGTTGAGCTAGCGAAATTAACAACATTGGTATTAATGGTAACATCTTGAATACATCCAACAAAGTATGCGTCATTTGGAACAGCACCGCCAATAGTTTTGAAACCAGTTTGCAATCCACCAAAGAATAACTGTCCGGAACTGATCATGAGAGTCGGTGGAGGATCGCTTGTCTCAAATTCATGAATATCATCAATTGAAAGCTTCAACTTCTTGTCATCATGAATTGCAGTTACAACGTGCCATAATCCATCATCAAATCTCACAGATTCAGTATTCAATTCACTTGCTGAACTTCTCAACACTAGCATACCTTCTTCAAGCGTCAGAGATATTGTTCCACTTTGATCATTATTCATTCCGTAGAAGATTATTCCTTTAGATTGAATGGTTTTGAATTTCAAATTGATGTTGAGCTTATTGTTGACTGCCAAACTCTTTACATTAAGATAACCATATTTGCCATGTTCAAAGCCTACAACAGACGAGAACTTTTGTGGACATCCAGTCAAAACATCATGTGACTCAAGATTTCTTGTCAGATCAACTGGTGTTCCTTCAATCTGTACTTCATCAATGCATCCATCAAAGTTTCTCGTTTCTATTCCTGATATGTACATCTTATCAGGATATCCACCGAAATACATCTTTTCAGGTGCAACATAACTTTCTGGATTATATACGGTATCTTGGAATAATAAGTGCTCATCAACCTTCAATGCACCTTTACCGCTATCTCGTGTAGCTGAAACAGTATGCCATTCATCATCATTAAATACACTGCTGCTCTTAATTTGAACAATTTCTGATGCTTGTCCAAGTTTGAAACGGAAAATGACATTTCCATCACGAAGTTCCAAAGAAATGTAATGATCTTGATTGCCAACGAAGAATAACAAACCATTAGGAGAATCACGTGCTGCCTTGAAGTTGAAACTGACATGTGATCGTTGCTTGAAATTGAATGGTTTTGCATCTAAAACAACATAGCCGTTACCACCGAATCTATAGCCTGTATGTTTAGCTTCCTTTGTAAGCAATCTATCTCTTTCAACTGATCCGACATTATTATTGTCGCCATCAATGAAGTTCCATAGACCAACATCTGTTTCACCGATCTTCAAGTTTTCAATCTCTCCTTCAAATGACGATTGTTTGATACTGTCTGGCATTTGATAATCACTATATCCTCCAACGAACAATCTACTATTTTCATCCAATCGGAAATTCATTTGTTCACCAGCAAGAGTTTCTTTCTTTTCATGTAACTGCTCATTTCCTTGATCATCTTCTTCGCGAATAATGAATGTAACATCCTTGCCTTTACGTTCAACAATTGCTTCATACCATTTATTATCATCAACAAGCTTGCTGCTAATGATTCTTTCTGGGCCATCACCAACATCAACAAGTAAAACTGGATATCCATTTTCAATTTCAATAGCCATAAAATCAGCACGCTTAGATTTTGAGGTTGGCTTTTGCTCATTTCCAAGATAGAAAAGCAAACCATTTGGCTTGTCAGTTTTAAAGTAAGTCGATATTTTTGTGTTGAATGTTTGAGTTTGGAGATTTTCAGGAGTTTTCAATTCTAAAGTTGTATTAGGCATGAAATTAACTCCAAGCTGAATTGAGTTGGCAATTGATCGTGCCTGTCCAATTTGTCTTCTTAATCGTTCTATGTCTTTGTTTAGATTACTACTGAGAGTATCTAAATTTTTCTGTTTAGTCTCCAAATCCTCAATTAATCCAATGATATTTGGAACAAGTTCACCTACACGTTGTACTTGGTTTGATGCTTGAACAATGTCTTTGGTAGTATCCTCAATATCCTTTCCAATTTTCGTTGTTTTATCTGCAGTTTCTTGAATACCTTCTAAGACTGGAACTAGAGTATCATTCGAACTCTTTTTCAAGTTAAGTGCATCGTCTGCGTTTGTAATAATTTGATTCCATGATTCAGTTAATGGATCAGAGTTAACACCATCGACAGTATCATTCATTGATTTAAGCAAATTGGTATAAGTATCGATCTTCTTCTTAATATTCCCTAAATTATCCTTAGATTTTTGCAAAGCTGGACTTAGTTCTGATTGTACATTTGAAAGTGCATCACGACCTTCATGAACCAAATCATTTGAATCTTGATAAGATTTTCCAGCATTATCACTCATACCATAAAGTAAACCAAGAGCCTTTGTTGCTTCATCAAAAGCTGCTTGTGACTTGTTCTTTGCAACTTCAACAAAGTTTTGGATTTCACCATAAGCATTGACAGCCTTAATTGCATCATTTGAATTTGCGGTAATATTAGAATATTGATTGAACAATTCATCCTTCTTATTGGTTAATAAAAGGATGTGATCTAATGCATTTTGTACTAATGGTGCAATTTTTTGGTATTCATCTTCATTCTTGGGCAACTTATTGTCAATGTCCTTGTTTAGATTACTAAGCTCCTTATTTAATCTTTCAACATCACCAAATGATAAATCAAGTTCAGTTAACATCTTTTCACCTTGATCTTTCAAGCCTTTTCCGTTCTTTAAACTATCGTCAGCTTCCTTCATAAGATTTGAAATTGTATCAAGTTTTGGCACGAGTCTTGATTCCTTGTTCTTTTTATTCATGTTCTCAGCAAACAAGCTATTCATTTGACTTTCTCTGCTCTTGTCACGTAAATCATCAATTTTATTATTAAAGTCCTCGAGAGATTTCTTAAAGATGTCAAGATTTTCTTTTTGACTGTTGATTGGCTCAGAAAATTTACGGACATCATCGAATACTGATTCAACATTGCATTCAGTTTTTTGGGCATTTTTGTACAAAACTTCAGGATCAAATGCTTTAATTAAGTCAAAGTATTCTTCTGCATTCTCAATTGCCTTCTCTAACTTTGTTGCCTTTTCATCTGAGTCAAAATTGTTAGCCAAAGCACCAACTTCTTTAATTGTATTCTTAACATCATCTGTAACACCTCTATAAGTTCCTTTTTCTTCGTCTGTTTTCTTTTGCAAATCACCACTTGCTTTTTTCAAGTCAGCAGCCTTTTCAGTAATGTAATTTGATTTTTTGTTATGGTTCTTTGTGTCCATCTCCAATGATTCTATTTCATTCACTTGCTCAGACAAATTATTACTGTTTGGATCAAGTTTTTCAACCTCAGGCTTTAACTCTTCTGTTTCTTCATTCAATTTCTTTAATTTTTGAGTTGTATAGTAAGATTTTGTTACGGTACTCAATTCACTGACAACGGGTTTTAATTCAGCTTTAAGACTATCTGTAACATCTAGCAATGCATGATGACAACCATCACATTCTTCGCATCCTATGTTCTCAATAAAGACCCAGCGATTTGGACATGAATCACACTTTTCACCAATAACTGATCTTAAACATTCACACTGTCCAGTTTGTGGATTACATCCAAGACCACGTGATAATTCTGTGTTACAAGAGCATGGTGTGCATCCATCTGGTCCATAATTCCAGTAACCTGGTAAACAACGATCACATTGTCGTCCTGTAACTCCAACTTTACAAGCACATTCTCCAGTATGATCATCACATTGAGTGCTATTTGATGCTACACCACAATCACACGGAGTACATCCATAACCTGTTTCAAATCCAAAATGATCATCAAAACAACGGTCACATTTATCTCCATCAACATTATCATGACAAACACATGTTCCAGTAGTTGAATCACAATGATCAGTTCCAATATCATCACAATCACAGTTCTTACAATCCTTCAAAAGGACAGCGTCACCAAAGAATCCAGGAGCACAGAGATTACATGCTGTTCCAAAAGTATTATTTAAACAATGTATACACTCTCCTGTAACGGTATCGCAAGCACCAGGCTGAGTTGGATCAATATTTCCTGAACATTCACAAAGTTTGCAAACTTCTCCTTCAATCTCTGGACGACCATAAAATCCATTAGCGCAGCTTTGACATTTATGTCCTGTATAACCTGGTTTACAATCACAACTCATTGAATATCCATCAGGTGAGAATTCACATCCAAATGCAAAGTTATTTGAATCAATTGGCAATGGACAAGCACAAATCATACAATCATTGGGAGATCCTATTGTTGCATTACCGAAATAGCCCTCAACACACATTTCACAATGATCTCCTGTTGTGTGATGTTCACAATCATCGCAGACTCCAGTATTACAATCACAGGTACTGGCATGTCCATTACATTCGCAAGGAATACAATAACCTCCATATGGACCATTTGTATCACGGTAATATCCTGGAGCACAGTTTTCACATGAATTACCTGTATAACCTGGTGGACACATACACTTTTCTGCTGGAATTTCTTGATATAAATGATAGTTCTCCTGATCTTCATCAGCAACAGTTAGAGTTACGTCTGATAAATATGTAAACATTCCCTTGTCAAAGTATGCAGCACGGATATAAATCTTGGTCAAATCTTTAAGTATCATCATAAATAGTTCTCTAGAAACTGGAGCTCCTGTTAAAGTTTGGAAATTTGACTCAATCATTTCTATAGATCCTTCAAAACGTTGATCTGCTGCTGGTTGACGATAATTCAAATGCTTAATTTGAACATCATTTGCTTCCAAAATAATATCAGGTCCAATTAATGAGTTTCCAAATAATTGTGTCGTATAAAGTAAGTTGTATCTCAAAAATCCTCCGTATGCTGTCAAATGATTATTTTGATTGATGAAATAATCAAGCATGCCAAAATAAGCGAAACCATCGAGAAGTTCTGGATTGTCAACATCACCAATAATGACTTGAGCTGTTGTATCATTCACAAGGATGCTTTCATCTGTCGACCAATCAACTTTCTCCCATTTGCCATTCTTAACATTGATTGTATGAAGCGTGAGGTTCTTCATCATGCTAACATTAAAAGGTCTCAAATAAGCATTTTCACATCGGGTTGTCTGTCCAAAGCAGAAACATTTTGTACATCCTTCAGGATTCTTTTCTTGCAAATTATATGTTCCTTCAACACACTGGCTACATTCAACTCCTTGAACATTCTTTTTACAGAAGCAAGTCTAAAAAGATTTAAAGGTTCGTGTTAATTTTGATTTTAAAAAGCTGTACAAGCTTATGACATACCTCATCATCTTGATCGCAAACTTCAAGAGTTGTTCCACGTAAGTCACTAGATTTGGAATTAACATAAGATTTTAATGAGATTAAAATTAAAAATTCAGGATCTTACCATCTGCAAGGACCACAGTAAGGGAAGTTAAAGAATCCATTAGCACATTTGTCACAAGCTCTTCCGACAACATTCGATGAACAGATGCAAGATCCATTGTTTAAATCACATTGAAGGTTTCCGTTCAAAACTCCAAGAGGATTACAGTTACATTCCTCACATCCAATGATTTGATCAAAACCAAATGTATAAGGAACACATTGATCGCATTTCTCTCCAGTTACACGTGGTGGACAGATACATTCTAAAGATAATATGCAGCATGACTTTAAAACTCTTTGAATTTAAATAAACATCAATTTACCTCCAGTTTGTTTTTCGCAAATTGCTGTGCTTGGACAATCACAAGGTTTGCAATCAGGGAATCCATAATATCCAGTTTTACATGCTTCACACATTCTGTAAGGATAAACGGTTAAGTACTATATAAAATCACAAGATGACAAACTCATACCTTCCAATAATGTTAGCTTTACATTGACATTGTCCTCCAAATTGATCACATTCAAATGATTTTGAGCCATCAATATCACAGTTACAAGGAAGAGCTCCAGCATTGTATTCAGCTGTTAATGAGAACACAGATGATTTGCAGAAATCTGAAGCATTCAATTGAATATTGAAGTGATCTTGTCCACATTCCTTTAAGAATTCATTTGTTTGATCAAATTCTTCTTCCGACAAGAGTCGCTCATGATAAACTTCGACTGGAACAAGGATGAAATAATCCAACCAAACGCCATAAGGCTGAACATTTGTGAATGAGAATGTAAATGCATCATCGATGTCAAACCAAGCATAATTGTCATTTTGTTGAATAACACCACGGCATCCTGATGTCGATGGACAATGATTGAGAGTGAATTTTCCATCGTAATTCTGATTTTCAGTTTGGACACGATAGACAATATTGAATTTTGGATGTTCAGGTTGATAGTACTGAACTATGATAACATAACGACCAGATTCTGGAGCCTTACTGCTGAATTGAATTGTTGGTGAGTCATTTCTAATATAAATTGTTTTAGTTCCGTTTGCTGAAAATTCTGGCAAGTTCTCGATGGCAACCTTTTCCTCTTGATCCACTTCAAATTCAATTTTCTTTGAATTTGGAACTGTTGTGAATTTTGATTCAACACAAGCACCATTCTTAGATGTACAGACTGGATGTGGTTCAATGAAATCAGTTGACCATTGATCATAAGGAATCGCTGTCAATGATTTAATAGCAACACCTTGAATATTATCACCATTCACAATGAATGGATTTGAGTCACCAGCTTCAATGAAGAAGACTTTTTCACGTGATTCCTTATCCATGACTGGTCCTCTGCAAACCATTTTATATGTACATGGATAGAGTAAAATTATTCCATCTTGTTCTGTCACATCAAATTGATTGACACTTATAAAAACGGCATCTGTGAATGTTGTGTCAGTAATATAGTCCAAAACTAAAATATAACGTCCTGTACGTGGTACTTGAATGACATAATTTAATTCATTTTGTGTTTGTGAAATTAATGGTAGTTCATTTTCATTAAGAGCTGATAAATGCTCTTTGTTCTGATAATATTCGACTACATCGACACTTCCATCATTTCTATTAATGTGAGCTTTTGTGACTGGATCGTATGAAGCAATTGATGGATAGTTGTAAAGTTGGCATAAACCTGATGGTGAATCAACTTTGCATGGATTAATAATTTTTCGTGTTAAAATTGAAGCTTCATAATAGGCAGCTGGTAGCAATACAAAATAATCAAGGAATAATGATTGATCACTCTTAATTACAATAGAATATTTTCCAGGATCCAAAACAATTGGAGTTGCAATATCTCCTTTCAATCCAGACATCGTAACAAATTCTGGCTTCTTGTTTGACTTGAATACAACTTTTCCATCTTGATCTGGATTGACAGTATTTTCTGATTGAATTGAAATATCAGCAACAACAGACTCTTCAGATGGATTCATATAACGGATGATAAGTCGATAGAATGATGATTTTTGAATATTCACTTCATTTGTTATTTCACTTTGTAATTCTGACAAAACGGCATATCCAATTTTGCTGAAATCAGGGAAAACTGTCTCATCAAATTGATATCTAACTTGAGCTCCAGTTGATGTAGCACCGTCCTCATATTCATATTTCAATTGATATAAAGTTGGATAATAATGTAATTGAAGTGGTCTTGTACAATCTCTTGATGTTATTCTTGAATTACATTGACATTCACCACTCAATTTATTACAGACAGGATTAGCTGAGCCACCAATATCACAACCACAAGGCTTACAACCAAAAAGTGATGTTCCAAACAAATCAAATGTTCCATCAATACATTCTTCACAGCGTCTGCCACCAACAAACTTCTTACAGCTACATTGTCCAGATTTTGTATTACATGTGTCAAGTGCACCGATTGTTCCATCAGTTAAGCAATCACATTCTTCACATCCATCAGAATTAGAAACATTCAGATTCCAGTATAGTGGACGACACTGATCACATATTCTTCCTTGAACTCTTTCCTTACATTGACACAACTCTCCTACTGGAACACTTCCACATCCAGCAAACTTGGCAATAACACCAGCTGGATTGCAGTCACAGCTTTCACAAAGTGGATAGTTGTAGTAATTTTCCTTGCACGAGTTACAATTTTTGCCATCAAAGTTCGAGTTACAATTACATTGTCCTTCATTATCACAACTGATACCAATTGATCCATGGGAGTCACAGTTGCAAGGCAAACATTCAGGATAATCATAAAAACCAGCCATACATTGTTCACAACGTTTTCCAGCAAAGTTTTGTAAGCATGGACATTTTCCATTGAAATCACAAATATGTGAAACTGAACCAACTGATGAACAGTTGCAGGGAACACATTCTGGATAGTTGAAAAATCCAGGCAGGCAACGATCACAACGTGTTGAGCCATATCCATCTTTACATAAACATTCACCAGTCAATTTGTTACAAATTTCAGGTTCAGTTCCATGAATGTCACATTGACAATATCCACAGCTTGGATAGTCATAATATCCATCTTTACATTGGTCACATTTCTTTCCTGCATGATTTGGCTTGCAAACACACTGTCCAGTTTGTTCATCACATGTGTTTCCGTCCGAACCAATCTCGTTACAATCACAAGCTGTAATGCATGAATATTCATTATAAATTAAGGATTTAAAAGACTTTAAAGTTTATTGTCTACTTACGTATGCATTCTGGGAAGTTGTAATATCCAGGAGCACAGACTTTACAATAATCACCTCCGAAATTTTCTTTACATGGACATTTTCCTTCAGTTGCTTCGCAATGATCACCAATAGTTCCATTTGAGTAGCATTCACAAGGTCTACATTGTGGATATCCGAAATGGCCTTCTGAACATGAATCACAATCAGGACTTTGGAATTCTTTACGGCATTCACATCGACCAGATCCTTCTTCACAATTTCCAGTACTGTAGAAATGATCACAATTGCAAGGACTGCAAACATCAGTTTCATTCCAATGTCTTTCATATGGACGATAGAATTTTGGCACACATTGATTACAATTGATTCCCATTGTATTGTGTTGACAATTCTCACAAACACCACCTCCTTCATATTTTCCATGAATATCCAATGATTCTCCTCTTTCATCAACATCCTCATCATAGTGACATTTATTAGCATGTCCATGGCAATTGCAAGGTTCACATACGAAAGGTCTTGCTCCAGTATTTTGTCTCCATTTCTTCTGTTCAAAGCCTTCGCAACAAGTCTCACATTGTGTTCCGCATGTATTATGTTGGCAAGAACATGCTAATAATCGCATATTATTGCTTTTTGATCGTGGATCTAACACACAAGTGCTTGCATGTCCATTACACATACAACGACCTCCAATTGAAATATCTTTGATTGAATAGAAATAACGTCTCGTTACAGTTGGATCTTGTCTTGCGACTGACATCAAGTGACCAAGCAAATTTTTCGTTCTTAACAAACGGATTCGGACATTTGTGGCTCTAGTCCATTCTTGTAAAACTGTAGAGTTGAAATAATTATTTGCTGATGGACGTGAGTTCAATAAACGAACAATAATTTCTCCAGATTCTAATGGAACAATCTTGCTGAATTCTGTTGTACAAATGACGTCATCATCTCTCCGGATTGGTCTTAAAGAATCTTTTCCGAAATAAATTTCACAATCAGTTTCAGAGTCTGAAAAGTGTTGCCATGCTTTCCATGTTTTTCCATAATCCGATGACTTCTCAAGAGTCCATAATCCAGGACGAGGAGAATTTCCCATACGAATGAAAATGTATGCGACGTGAAATTCCTATATTAAATATTTATGCTGATTATTCAGTCACGCACAAAAATATCAAAACTTACCTGTCCAAAGTCAATTGTAAGGTTCACTTCATTATATTTCATACCACGAGAAAGTGGAGGAGATTGCCACCATTGTTCAGTTCCGTCAATAGCATTTATCGCCGGATGACTCTCTGGGGTACAATAGTCACATTGCTACATATTTAAATGATAAGATTTTTGTCAATGTATATTTTTATGTTGATAATAGCTTGAATAATATTTAATGCCCTATCAATGATAAGCTTCATAAATGTGCTCTAGATTTTTTAAAACAACGGAAGTAACTAACCTGTCCTTGAATAACAACATGTCCTTTGAGTAATCCAGTGTGGAATTGATCCTCAATGAATGCAGTTTGATTTTGTTGATCATCCGTATGAGAACCGACAAGTTTACAATATAATTCAGGTCCATCAATGTCTACACCACATGTTGAGCTAGCAGTTATCTTTCTACCCTCAGCCAAATTAAAGTATGGCGGAGTAAGTGTTTCAGAATGTCCACAAGTTGTGAATAAAATCAGTAAATTGGCAAATATAAGCCACAAAGGGTGAAAGACACCCATTAGGAATTCTTTGTTGGCTTTATGCAGCCTAGGAATAAATTAAAAAAAATCATCAGGGGTCATTCATAAATGATGTTATCAAAACATGGTTTGTTATTTTTTGGTGATCCAATGCCTTAAAAAATTATTTTTTATAAAAATGTCAAAAGATTGCAGACCCCCAAAAATTGAAACATCATTTATGAAAGTCCCCTCATCAGAATTTCATAATTTTCTAGAATGAGCAGCATATTTAAGCAATCATTTAAGAGCACAAAATATCAACACATTTTCTTCTTTCTTTCTTATATACACATGTGAGTGTTGTGGATGCATGTAAAAAAATCAAAAAAAAAAATGTTCTGGGAATTCATTTTTAGACTTAATGTGTGTATGTGATATGTTGTGCTATGCTTCTCAACATTGATACAGAAGAAGAAAAAAAAAGAAATAAATTTTTTGAGTTAATCTTTTCTGACCCTACATCGGAAATGATGTTGATAAGCTGCTATAGCTGTTCATTTTTTGATTGATAAGAACGAAAAATTCTAGTTTAAGTTACAATAATTTAAATTTTTTAAGCTTAAAATGAAGAAAAATTGGAACTAAAACACTGAAATTACATCCATTAATGCATTTTTGAGTTTCATATTAATTTAGATACTATTTTAAGAATGCATTTATGCTGACTATGACAATTTTAGCTGCATTTTATGATCACTTTCGTATTACACCATGCTATATCCATTCTTAACAAATTTCAATACACACCCAAATTTTTAAACAATTATTTTTACACAAATTTTTTTTTAAAACTTCTTTTTCTTCTTCCTTAATGTCAGTCTTTCTTAAATTATCTCCATAAAACTGTCTAACACTATTTTTTTCTCTTTTTTTCCCGTCTGCTTCCACCGAACGCTGACACTCAACTGATGTTCTGTGCATCAATCTTTGGGGGTGAATTTCAATCTGTTCTACACAATCATGAAAAATGGAACAAGAATCTCACAACATAAACATAAATTGAGGATCATTCTCTTCTCTCCTAAATTTTCTCTTTCTCTTTCAGCAATCAGCTGTGATTGTGCATTTTGCTTTGACATGTGCTTGCATGAAGTAAACAAAGGAATTACTCAATGTGCTTGAAAATATTTATCAATGAGTGAGAAAGCAAAAAAACTTTCATTTATTTTCGATTCATAAATTTAATTACAATCGGCACTTTTGGCTTTATTATGAATTGCGATGGATCAGCTTCAAATTCTTTATGCATCAAACTCTCGTCCACAAGTTTACATGAAAATTTTGAAAGAATAGTTGCAAGACCGATTTTAGTCTGCAGTTTTCCCATTCGTAAACCAATGCAGTTCCTGTGATAATATAAAATATTACTTATTAATCTTATTAAAATTAATAACTTTAAGGTACCTTGGACCATCTCCAAAAGGTAAATAAAATAATCCTCTAGTATTTTTACTTCCATTTGGTGAGTCTCTGAATCTTTCAGGATCAAATTCCATTGGATTCGCATAAAAATCAGGATCGCGATGAAGACCTTGGCATGGTATGAAAATTTGTGTTCCTTTTTCTATTGTAAATTCAGTTCCACTAAATGTATGATTTTTAGTACATTCTCGAACTAGTAAAGGAACAATCGGAAATTTTCTGAGTGTCTCGTCGATGCACATCTCTAAATATTTCAATTTTTGAAGCATATCGTAAGTTATGTCTGTAGAATCAGCATCCTTCATGACTTGATCGATTTCTTCTTGTACTTTCTGTTGGATTTTTGGATTTCTGCTCAACTCAAATAAACAAAGGTTGGATGTGGAACTTGATGTCTCGAAACCTGTAAATTCAGTTAAGTATAAAGCTAAAAAAATTAAATTTCAATTAATATAATAGTACAAACCAGCAACAAAGAACAAGAAAGTCTGTGCAGCTACTTGATTAAATGTTAACTTTTTTGTATCTAAACTTTTAAAATCATCGAAATTGACCTCATCTTCATCATTTTCATCCTTATCGACAGATATAAATCCTTGATTTTTTAATTGAATTAATAACTGCATAAAGTCTTTCCTTTGATAGCTTTCATTACTGTCTCGATGCTCGATTGTCTGCCTTACAACTGACAGGAAAAAATCTTCAACCTCTTGAACTACTCTTTTCATCCTCAATTTGGTTGTAAGCTTTGGCAAAAAAGTAGCGAGAATATTTTTTATCATTAGCTTATAGTCATTATCGAAGATTTTAAGTCCCATTTTACGAAAAATATTTTCGCGATCATTAATGCAATCATTCTCAATGCCAAAAGCAACAGATGAAATTATACTTGTAGTAAAACGAGCTAATAAGTCATGAGTATCAAAATTATCAGTTCCATTTTTCATCTCTTTTTCTAAGTACTTCTGCATAGTTTGAGCACAATTGAAAATGGTTGGATACATTCCTTTTAATTTTCCACTCGTAAACGTCGGTGACAATTTCACTCTCAAATCTCTCCATCTCTGTCCAGACAATGAGAACAAGTGAGCACTTAAAGGATCAATTTCCTCATCGGCTGGAATTCCACGATCATGAAAACTTCCAAAATCTTTAATCATTATTTCTTGAATAAGAATTGGATCACAAACCATCAATGTTGGACGATATGAGAAGTAAATTCCAAGTATTCTACTTTGCTTGTAATTTTTATAAAAGTTCTCAAAGAATTCTCCCAAACTAGGAACATTTCTTGATAGAATTGCACTCAATTCACCTAATAAAAACACAGGTTTCTTGAAAGGTATTCCTTGTCTTGACCAATAACTAAAGAGATACTGGTTGATGAAGTAAATAGCTGTTGCTATAAGTACAATAAAAATTAAAAATGACATCTTTTCAGTTTGGTTGTTTTTGATTGACTAACACTCACATTTGAGAATTTTTATTAAATTATCATTGACTTAATACCTATAAGATTTTATTTTATTTGTAGTAGTGATTTTCTATTCTTGGTGTGGATACTTATCAGATGTATAAAAGAGTATTTATATTTTAATCAATTTTTGGTTGCTTACGAAATATTTTTAATCATAATTAATTGAATTCACTTATACTCTTGCTTCTACCTTCAGCATGATTGGTTCTTTAGGAGTTGTAATGAACTGTGCAGGATCAGCTTCAAATTCCTTATCCATTAAACTCTTGTCAACAAGTTCAAAAGAGAATTTTGATAAAATTACTGCAAGTGCCAGTTTTGTTTGCAGTTTTCCCATTCTTGCTCCAATACAGTTTCTAGGTCCATCTCCGAAGGGCATATAAAATAATCCTTTCGAGTTTCCATTTCCAGTTGGTGAGTCCAAAAATCTCTCAGGACGGAATTCCATTGGATTATCATAAATATCAGGATCACGTTGAATCCCTTGAACGGGAATAAACAAAGTTGTTCCTTTTTCTATAGTATGCTTAGTTCCAGTAAATGTATGATCTTTTGTACATTCTCTGTTTAGCATAGGAACAATTGGGTATTTTCTTAATGCTTCATCAATGCAGCACTCAAGGTACTTCATTTCTCCAAGCATGTCATAAGTTACTTCTTTTGAATTGGCCGCTTTCATGACTCTATCGATTTCTTCTTGAGCTTTTGTTTGAGTTTTCGGATTTTTGCATAATTCGAGGAGACATAGATTGGATGTTGAGCTTGATGTCTCAAAACCTAAATCATTGAATTAATGACAATTCTTAAACATTGAAAAAAAATTCTTACCTGCGATGAAAAATAAGAAAGCTTGAGCTGCTATTTCATTGAATGTTAATTTTTTCATATCATTGTGATCATGTCCATTAAGCTCATCCTTCTTATCATCTTTATCTACAGAAATATATCCTTGATTCTTCAATAAAATCATAAGTTGCATGAAATCTTTTCTTTCATAGCTTTTGTCATTCTCTCTGTGATCAATTGTTTGTTTTACAATGGATACGATGAAGTCTTCTACTTCTCTATCAACACTTCTAATTTTAAACAGAAGCATTAGCTTTGGCAAGAAAAATGATAGGATATTCCTAAACATTGATTTGTAATTTGATTCAAAAATTTTCAATCCGATCTTACGAAAGATGTTGTCACGATCATTAATACAGTCGTTATCAATTCCAAAAGCGACTGATGAGATAACGTTTGTAGTAAAGCGAGCTAGTAAATCACGCATATCATAAACTTTATTTCCACTTTTTACTTCTTTTTCTAGATAGTTTTCCATAACTTGGGCACAATCGCGAATCGTTGGATACATGCTCTTTAATTTTCCACTAGTAAAGGTCGGTGATAGCTTGACTCTCAAGTCTCTCCATCTCTGACCCGATAACTCAAATAAATTGGCAGATAATGGATCATTTTCTTCATCAACTGGAAATCCACGATCATGAAAACTTGTAAAATCTTTTATCATCACTTCCTGGATTAAAACTGGATCATTAACAAGCAATGTTGGTCGATAGCTGCAATATAATCCAAATATTTTATTGTTCTTATACTTTTTGTAAAGCTGCTCGAAATAATCTCCCAATCCACGTTTTAATGTCAAAATGTCCCAAAATTCACCAAGTAAAAATGTTGGTTCTTTGAATGGGATTCCTTGTTTAGTCCAATAACTGAAGAAGTATTGGTTAATAAAATAAATAATTGCTACTACAAAAGCTATTGTAATCCAGACTGACATCTTGTTTGTTAAAATATTCTCGATTAACTGAAGCTTAACAATTTAAGTTGATGACTTTATACAGAGCAATTAAAGCTGATAAGAATTAATCCATAAAAGTTTATTTTTGTCTGTGTCTTTCCTAATATGCATATCAGTCCTACAACAGTTTAATATATAATCAAAATAAAGCTATATATGGGATATCTGAAGCCTTCCATTTAAGCTTATCAGGACTAACGCAATTAAAGTCTTGTTTACAATACGATTAAAATGTTGATAATAATATAAAAGCACTCGTTAATGAATCACACTTTACATGTGTTCTGGGGTGAATGAATTCTGTGATTTCTGTTTGTGTGACAATGCTTTATTTTTTCGGCTAAAGTCCTGACCCAAAAACACATATTTTTGGTTAATTGTTCACAATTTATTTAAGTTCAAATCTGTGGTCGGCAAAGAGCTTACAAAATCAGTTGAAACTTTAAAGATTTGAATTTGAATTTTTAAGCATTTCGGGCAGTATAATTTAAATTCAGGAAAAACATTATTTGATCATAATTTGTTTTGTTGTTTTTAAGTCATTTTGCTATTAAATAATATAGAACTTAGTTTATTTCATAGCCTTTTTGGGTCAGTAAACATTTTGATATTCAAAAAATTAGCATTAAGTAGCTTAATTCACAAGACTTTGAAATTTTATCAAAACCAGATGAAATATTGAATCCATAAATAGTTTAAAACAAAGAATGTGTAAAAATAAGGACTACTAAAAAATTACTAAATCTAATTGTTTTAAAAATAAGATCCGTTTGCCTACCACAGGTTAAAATTTTTCTAAACGTCATAAATGAATAATTTCGTTTATTAACGCAAGGATGCCTTCAACAAAATTGTTTCCTTGGGTGTGAGAATGAATTGATTTGGATGCATTTCAATTTCACTATTCATCAAATGTTTATCAACAGGTTCAAATGAAAATTTAGACAAGATCATAGCAAGACCTAATTTTGTTTGTAATTTTCCCATTCGTGCTCCGATGCAGTTTCTGTGAATTAAATTTTATGAGAAAAGTTTGGATCAAGCTTTGCTTCTTATACTAACCTGGGTCCATCTCCGAATGGCATATAGTAAACTCCATTCGAATTACCATTTCCACTTGCAGAGTCCATAAATCTCTTAGGTCGGAATTCCATTGGATTTTCATAAATATTTGGATCTCGATGAAGTCCTTGAACTGGAATAAAAACAGTCGTTCCTTTTTCAATATTCCAGTTTGAGTCAGAAAATGTGTAATCTTTAGTGCATTCTCTTATATGTACAGGAACAATTGGATATTTCCTCAGAGTTTCATCAATGCAGCATTCTAAGAACTTCATTTTTCCAAGCATGTCATAAGTTATTTCAGATGAATTAGAAGCACTCATGATTTCATCAATTTCATCTTGTGCCTTCTTTTGAACCTCTGGATTTTTACTTAATTCAAGCAGACAAAAATTTGACGTTGAACTTGATGTTTCAAAACCTGCAGCAAAGAACAAAAAAGCTTGTGATGCAACTTCATGCAATGTCAATTTCCTTGTCTCATGCTTCTTATCAGCACTGGTTGATTCAGTGTTGTTCTGATCATCATCTTTATCTGCAGACACATATCCTTGATTTTTAAGCTGAATTAGCATTTGCATAAAATCTTTTCTTTCAAAATCTTGATTCTTTTCACGTTGTTCTATCGTTTGCTGGACTACAGACATAAAAAATTCTTCTATATCATGAGGAACTATCTTAATCTTTAACAGTGTCAAAAGTTTTGGAACAAAGACTGTAAGAATATTTATAATCATTATTTTTAATGTAGGTTGAATGAATTTAACTCCCATCTTCCTAAATACATCTTCTGGATCATTAATGCAGTCATTTTCAATTCCAAATGCTACTGAAGAGATGACATTTGTTGTGAATCGTCCCATTAAATCATGAATATCGAAAATATCATTTCCATTTTGGACACCTTTCTCAATATACTCTTGAAGAACATGAGCACAGTTAAAGATTGTCGGATACATTCCTTTAAGTTTTCCTCCTGTGAATGTTGGCGATAATTTGACTCTCAAATCTCGCCATCTTTGTCCAGATAAAACAAACAAATGTCCACCAAGTGGATCAACTTCCTCATTTATAGGAAATCCACGATCATGGAAACTTGGGAAGTCTTTAATTAAAACATCCTGAATTAACAATGGATCACAAATTAATAAAGTTGGTCGATATGAAAAATAAAGTCCGAAAATCCTCTTATTTTTATTATTTTCATAGATTCGTGCAAAATATTCTCCCATTCCTTTTTTCAGTGATAACATTCCTGCAAGATCTCCAAGGAAGAATATTGGATTTTTATGAGGTACATTGCGGTTTGACCAATAACTAAAGTAGTGCTGATTAGTCACAAATATAACAAGGATGAGAATCGTCAATATGATCCAGAATAACATCTTCACACTATACTATTTTACTGAGTTTCTTCTCATAAATAGAGTTGTTGATTGTATTGTGTAGAAATCTGTAAATAAGAGCAACATTATAGCTGTATTGGAATTAATTTTGTTATATTTACCGGTGAAATGTTTCTTTAAGAGATTTTTTCAGAGTTACTTCATAAGATTGAGCAATATTGTCATTCAATCTGAAGATATGACTATAAATCTTTCAAGATTCTTAAATAAATCTTTATAATAACTTTAAATTTAAAATTTTAATGTATACGCAAAATCAAAACAAATGTGACCTTGCATAAATGAACTAATACTACCAAAGATACTTTATACTTATGCATACAATTAATCGTAAACATTTGAAGAGTATTTTCTGTTTACAAAGATCAAATCAAACAAAAATTTTTTTTTTGTTTTGAATTATATCAATTGAAACAATTTAACGAGGTATCGCCTTCATCTTAATGCTTTCTCTTGGTTTCATGACAAACATTTTTGGGTCAACTTCAAACTCATTATGAATCAAGTTTTGGTCGACTAATTCAAATGTAAATTTTGAAAGAATCATTGCCAGACCAAGTTTTGTTTGCAGTTTTCCCATTCGAGCTCCAATGCAGATTCTGAAAGGAAATGATGGTCACTTGATGAGATGAATACTTAACGTCAAAAATCTTACCTTGGTCCATCTCCAAAAGGTATATAGAAGGCTCCTTTAGATTTTCCTAATCCAGTTGACGAATCCTTAAATCTTTCAGGATTGAAAGCCATTGGATTCTCATAAATCTTTGGATCACGATGTAATCCTTGTATTGGTATAAATAAATTAGTTCCTTTCTTTACAGTGAATTCAGTTCCACTAAATTTATGATCTTTTGTACAGTTTCTAAGTATGACTGTAATAACTGGATATTTTCTAAGAGTCTCATTAATGCACATGTCTAAGTATTTCAACTCTTGAAGCATATCATAAGTAATTTCTGAAGAGTTTGCATTCCTCATAGCTTGATCAATTTCATCTTGAACTTTCTTTTGAATTTCAGGATGTCTACTCAATTCGAATAAACACAGATTGGATGTTGAACTTGAGGTCTCGAAGCCTATACAATTTATTCCAAATTTATAAGCTTTCAATAGAATCATACTTACTTACCAGCAGCAAAAAATATAAAAGTATTTCCAGCAATTTCATTAAACGTCAATTTTGTCTTATCTGAACTTTTAGATCGTTCTTCATTTATATCTTCATCTTTATCTACAGAAACAAATCCCTGATTTTTGAGCTGAATCATAAGCTGCATAAAATCTTTTCTTTCAACTTGTTCCGTTTCTCTTAATTCGATCGATTGTCGTACGATTGACATGATAAAGTCTTCAATCTCTTGAGAAACATTCTTTATTTTAAGAAATATCATCAACTTTGGAAGAAAGGTTGTTAGAAAATTTCTAGCAACTTGTGCAAAATTTGTATCAAATATTTTCATTCCCATTTTTCTAAAAATGTTCTCACGGTCATTAAGGCAATCATTTTCAATTCCAAAAGCTACTGATGAGATAACATTTGTAGTAAAACGACCTAGTAGATCGTGAGTATCAAAAATGTCATTTCCACTTTTCAATTCTTTTCCAATATAATCTTGCAAGACTTGAGCGCAACTATATATAGTCGGGTACATTATCTTCAACTTTCCTGATGTGAAAGTTGGTGACAATTTGACTCTTAAGTCTCTCCATCTCTGACCAGCTAATCCGAATACATTACTAGTTAATGGATCAATTTGTTCATCAAATCCAAACCCTCGATCATGAAAACTTGTGAAATCTCGAATAAGCACTTCCTGAATTAAATCTGGATCACATACAAGCAAAACTGGGCGATATGAAAAATAAAGTCCGATAATTTTCTTGTTCTTGAATCTTTCATAAAGACTTGCGAAATATTGTCCTTGACTCTTTTTTGACGCGAACATATCCCATAATTCACCGAATAAAAATGTCGGTTCCTTGAATGGAATTTTACATTTCGACCAGTAACTAAAGTAATGTTGATTTGCGAAATAAAACAAAAATATTAAGAATGTCAATAAAACCCAGAACCACATCTTCACTCTTTCAATTTCTGACAATTACTGAATATACTTTATAATGTGTAGACAATACAAATACTTAATTATTGTTGTGTTGAGATAGGTTTAACAAGTATTTTAACGCACAAACTTTAGGTTAAAGTTCTTAATAATCAGAGAACTGTATTTAAAACTGTTTCAGGCAAATATTCAATTTCAATTAAGAATTAAAACAATTTCAGAATATTTCAAAGATAACTGCGATGATATTTTTATTTTATATAACTTTGTCAAAAAGGGGTTTGTCACTTTGTTTTGTAAGGGGAGAAAGAATTAATAAAAATGAGTTTGAAAGATTCAACAGTGAACGACCCCTTCTTGAAAAACAGAGATGATATTTATTCAAATACTGCTGAAATATTGTACAGTTTTGTCAAACATGTAGCTTTACTGACGAACTTTTACTTTCATCATGATATTATCTTTTGGAGTTAAAATAAATTGATTAGGATGAACTTCAAACTCTTTCGTTAATAAGCTTTTATCAACCAGTTCAAACGAGAACTTTGATAACATCATAGCTAGTCCAAGTTTTGTCTGTAATTTTCCCATACGTGCACCAATGCAGTTTCTGTTTCAATAATTAGATCAATTAAATTTAAAACATTCAAAAAAAATATAAAAATTATCTTACCTAGGTCCATCACCGAATGGCAAGTAATACAATCCTTTCGAGTTTCCATTTCCAGTTGGGGAATCAATAAATCTTTCAGGAATAAATTCCATTGGATTATCATAAATATTTGGATCACGTTGAAGTGCCTGAACGGGAAGGAATATTGTTGTACCTTTTTCAACTGTCCAATTAGTTTCACTAAATGTATGATCTTTTGTGCATTCTCTAATAAGAACAGGTACGATTGGATATTTCCTAAGTGCTTCATCAACACAGCACTCAAGGTACTTCAAATCCTGGAGTATATCGTAAGTTATTTCATTTGTATTTGCTGCTTTTAGTGCTTCATCAATTTCCTTTTGGACTTTTTTCTGAATTTCTGGATGTCTGCATAATTCAAATAGACATAAGTTCGATGTGGAACTTGAAGTTTCGAAACCTAAATAAAATTGAGATCTAAACTGAATAAAAGCAATAAAATCATTTATTGGAGTCACTTACCGGCAACGAAAAACAAAAATGTTTGTGCAGCGACCTCGTTGAAGGTTAATTTTTTTGTTTCCAATTTTTTATTGTCATGTTCCTTAATCTTATCATCGATTTCGTCATCCTTATCAGCAGACACATAACCTTGGTTTTTAAGTTGTATTAAAAGCTGCATAAAATCTTTTCTTTCAAGTTCCTTGTTGTTCTCACGACGGTCAATTGATTGTTTTACGACTGACATGAAGAAGTCTTCAATATCTTGTGGGATTTGTTTAATTTTCAATTTTATCAGTACACTAGGCACAAACATACCCAAAATATCTTGAACCATTTGTCTAAAACTTGGTTGAAAAATTTTCAGACCCATTTTACGGAATATATTATTCGGATCATTAATGCAGTCATTCTCGATTCCAAATGCAACTGATGATATGACAGTTGTAGTGAACCTAGCTAGTAAATCACGGGCATCGAAAACGTCATTACCATTTTTTACTTCCTTTTCAATGTAGTTTTGCAAAACATGACCACAATCATTAATGGCTGGATACATTCCCTTCAATTTTCCAGATGTGAATGTTGGTGACAATTTTACCCTTAAATCTCTCCATCTCTGTCCAGCCAGTAAAAATAAATGTCCACCAAGTGGATCAATTTCTTCATCGACTGGAAATCCACGATCATGGAAGCTTGTGAAATCTTTAATCATTATTTCCTGGATAAGCATTGGATCATTGACAAGTAAAGTTGGTCGATATGTGAAATAGAGCCCCAATAATTTCTTGTTCTTGTAATTTTCATAAATATGTGTAAAAAAATCTCCAAAACTCTTTTTCATTGTAATCATTCCTTTTAATTCACCAAGGAAAAAGGTTGGTTCTTTGTAAGGAAATCCTCGATTCGTCCAATAACTAAAGTAATGCTGATTTGTGAAATAAATCACAACAGCGAGAATCGCCAATAAAGCAAAAAGAATCATGTTAACTGTTCAAATGTTCAATAACTACTAAAGTATTTTTTTGGAAGCACAGTAAATATATAAAGTCATCTGTGATACATCATGATAGATAAGTGCTCACATGCAAAAGCATTTTGACTGTGTTGAATCAAACTTTTATGTGAAGAAATATTCTTTCCAAAAAAAAGACTGATAACTGCTGCTTTATAAGGAATTTTAAGGATTAAATCAAAAATGGACATGCCATGATAATGTTATCTTGATAAGTAGCATAAGCTGGATTTTTTTTCTTAGATAATAATTTATTTCTACTGTGTAAATACCAATCTTCCTCCTTTTTTGGGACAACTTATATCTGAGAAAATACATAGACACTTAATTAAAATGAGAAAATAAAGTTTGGTCGTGCAATGGCCTTCAATTTAATTGCTGTTTCTGGATTGATGATAAATTCTTTCGGGTCAATTTTAAATTCTTTGTTCATTAGATTATTATTGACTAGCTCGAATGATAAAGCTAATGTTAACCTTAAGAGTTCCACACTGAAGCTAAAATTCAAATTTACATGTTTATGGATTTTGTACCTGAACCGTAACCAAAGGGCCTCATTTTTGAAAAAAGAACAGTGGATTTCCAAGAATTCATCCTACCCCCCACCCCCCTGAAAAACTATCATTTACAAAACATAAGCTTTGCTTGCATACCTTATTTTAGTTTGAATAAAACTTTTTGAAATGTTAAGCTTGCTATTGATAAGCGCTTTGCTTATCAAGCATTTATTTCAGACGATATGGCGCCAATATGATTGATTTTAATTTTTATTACGAGTATGGATGTAAATCAAGAATGTTAGATGAGGCTCCTCAAAATTGAAAATTTGAAGAAAAAAATGTTTTGAGTTTTACACATTAAAATATAAAATTCAAGCTGCTTTGCCCTGTTTGTAATGGTATTGATAAGTCACTCACACAAACATTCGACATCTTCATTTGTATTGGTTTGTTTACATTTAACGATCATTAGCATAAAGATGATGATCATTGGAAATAATTTGATGACTGGCGGTAATGATGGGAAAAATATGAAATGTAGCGTAATTTCAGCTGCTGGCAATTGAATATTGTTGAATATCATTTTTAGACAATCAGCCTCTGATCATCATTAGGTGTCAAAATAAGATTTTTACTTTTTCGTCTTTCTGATTTAATTCAGCATTAATTAATTGTAATGAAATGTTTTGAACGACATGTGCAATTATTTTATTTGCATTTAATTTAAGTAAGTATTTTTGACCATCTTCTTAACAGACAGAAAGTTGTGGTTTAAAACTTGAAATTAATTACTGTATTATAAATTAAACTTACGTGGGATTCTAAATGTTAATAAACTTGCTGCGAAAAATAGAATCAACTGAGGAATAACCTCATTGAAGGTCAAAATTTATTTCTGAATATTTTAATCATGGTCCTTAACATGTCAGGTGATGCGTATCCTGAGATATAATAAAAATAAGAAGTTGATTGGAATTCTTACCTTTCAGGGTTTAATTTCAGTCATGATTTCATTTTAATCAGTTCTTTTGAATAACTTGAGATTTGGATAAATTAAACTAGTCTTAAAAGATAACTTGAGACATTCTTTATGTCATTTGATAATCAATAATTAACTCAAATCATTTAGAACAGTTTAATGTCATACTAACTTAGTCTGAACGTTTCTTTTTTTGCATTCACTGAAAAGGAATCTGATTAGAAATTGATTTTAAATTGAATTCATTTTTCATCCTGTTTTCTTTCATAAACAAATCCAAATAAGGTAAAAACAAGAATCGAATAAAGGTAAATTTACATCTTAAGTTAGAAATGATATGGATTATATAAGGATGTTAACATCAAAATTGTATCTTAAAGTTTTCTTCGAGAACAAAATAATTTACATAAATAAAGTCGCGTTTTTATCAAGGGATGTTAAAACAAAAGCAAGAAACTTCAAATTCTGATGATTCATAATAAAATCTGTGATTTGAATCAATAATTGGAAAGGCTGCAGTTTTATAGCGAAAATAAAATACTATTAATAGTCAGGATGCCGTTTGAAATTTCAATGGTTTTATAAAATATCACACAAAACAAAAAACCAGCTTCCCGATTATGAACCAGGAACAAGTTCTTAATAGAATCACTATAATTTTTATTGATACTCAAGAATCCGTTTTTTGATTGCATCTTTTCATTCTCAATTTAGTTTGAATACAAAATTAATTTTATGGATGTGGAATAGACTGTCTGGATGAACTGATAAAAAGGAAATTTATTCAACTTGAATGGGATGATAAATCAGGTTGAGATTTCGCACGAATTGAAAACCTAGCAAAAAAATATTTCATATACGTAACTTCACCTTGGCCTTTATTTTATTCCAAAAATGCAAATTTTATCCGAACTCTCCAGAATAATTTTGTGACTTTGTCAGTCTGACTTTTTTTTAACTTGTTTATCTAAGAAGAATATCATATTTTTCAGAACCAAACAGTCACGATTAATGACTTTTTCATAAGTTATTGTTGAATGTAATTTAATATTTATATTCACGGGTGCAGATTTTCCAAAATATTTCAAGAGCACTTGTAGATTCACATTAACTTAACAGAATGAGATATTTCAAAATGCATCATTAACATGTCAAAAGCTCGATGGTCGTTGTCCTTGAAATCTCAATCAATAATTAAATATTTCATGCAAACTTATGATTCCGGAAATACACTTTCACTGTCTGTCAATAGCTCACTTGCTTATGATTCATTTTTCCTTACAATTACTAAATAACATCATCTCTTGTAAAAGATACAAATCCAATCGATCATCTTTATTTAATACTCTTTTAACATTCAGCCAAGCTTCATTCAATGTTTAGTAAAGTAGCGAGTCAAAAGAAAGCTTTAAATTGTAGGGAAATATGCGATTAAATTAATAAAACCGTGACATTAAATTCAAGATAAATTCATCTCCATCAAACTTCTATAAAACTTATTAATCACAGCTCTCGAGAATCTCTAGTAATTTACTTGTGCAGATATTTAAATGTCAATGATAAAAATTCACTCATAATTGAAATTTCATTGGTATTTGCAGGTTTTTGTTAATTAGGTTAATCATTTTTTTCGAGCTAATATTAAAGCTTTCAGCTGTTTGAATAAGTTAAACTTCAATATTCAATATCTTCTTTGTAATCGCAAGTACAAGCTTTTAATTAATTTTCATTCAAAAAATGAATTGAGAAGAACGAGTTTAAGTATCAATGATTTCTTTTGAAAAGGTGTGACGAAGAATCGATCAATGAATTATTTTGTGTTTCTAAGCAAGTGTTGCATGGAATCATTAATGAGATTCTGGTAAGATAGAATCGAAACTCTCCTAAAGACTAAGTTTGGATAATCCCATGCATTCAAAATCTTCAAATATTGAACCGTGTCAAATAAATAACTGTAAATAACCAAAACTATAGAATTCCACAAAAAAAAATCAGCATTGATGCACATCAAATAACGAATAAATTATCAAAATAAAACAATCTTCACCTTCAACACATTATCTATTATAATTTTTATTATTCAATTTTTTGCCAACTTTATTCTTGTGTATTCTTGACTTCTTCGTTTTAAGATTAACATAAAGTCAGGTTTGGACAAGTTAAAAGTATATTTTATGCCTGACAGTTCTAGATTTATTAATAAAATCCCTTAAATATTATTTTCCTTAAAAACCAGTAAAACAAACTTAAGTATTTTGAAATCAAGCATATTTTATTGGAAAATTATGCGTAATAGCTAGTCATCTGTCTCCTCTGAAGTTCAAATTTATCAAAAATATTTCCAATGCGACTCGAGACTCTTTAAATCATTTAATATTCAAATAAAGTATTTTTAAATTTTCCCAAACGAGATTCAATTTAGCATAGAAATAAGCGTTCACGCGGATCTGATCTCATGAGTTGTTGATATTTTCAGCACTTAGAAAGGAACAACTTTTGCACACCTAAAGATAAATAACTTTCAGAACAAAAAAAAAACTGGAGAGCTCTGGAATCAAACTGGGGCTAATTTTGGACATAATTCTTCTGTACAGCTGCGGATAAAATATGAGCAGAATATCAATCTTTCAAACCAGCTTGTTTTCAACACAATTCGTCTTCTCAAAGCTGGCGAGAAATCAAAAATCAATTCAGAAATGCTAAGAGTCTCGTCTACTGACTCAACTAATTTTTATCTCATTTGCATAGACCTGTATATACATTATAGCAGTGTGTCATCTGCTGAATATAAATAAAAGAAAAATTCAAGCATTTAAAAAGCTATGAACATAATTTGTCAACTTCATTTTGATGCACTTTTGTCACTCAACGCAACTTAATGACACTGTTATGTCAAAAGAAATAAATTATTAACTGTAAATGCTTTGAACTGACATTTTGCAGGATTAGCTTAAAAGTTTGTGCTGATGACTAAAGGACTGTGAATTTAAAAGCATTATTGGTACACGATAATTGATCTAGGACTGGTTTCTAGGGCTACTTAGGACCACATGGTCTTCTTCAGACTTTCTTTATATTCTAGAGAATAGTCCATTGATTTTCCATTTTGGGATAGTCTTATAAGTTGGCCGCAATGCAGCATATCAGATGTTTCAAGCTAGTTCACTAAAAATGTCTATCAGAAATTAAAATTATCAGATTCGAGTCATAATAATTGTTCAACTGCCATCATTTCATCTACTGAATTAAAGATCCAGTGAATGAATAATCTTCTAAGAATAGCAAGCGAGCTTGCTGTCAATTTAAATTTGAAATTCAATTAATAATGCTAGTCTTAATCTCATAAATAAACAAGAATATCAAACAATTTTGTGTCAAGGTTTAAAATGCAGATGCAGCAGCAAAGGATTACGTGCACCTATGTGTAAATGATAATTGAGCCATCAATAATAAAAAACATCCTAGGCTAATAACTCCTTACATTCGACTCAATGATTAACCTGCTTATATATTTCCCGAAAAACAAGTTTCATGGTCTCACATTTCGCACTCAAAATCACTGCTTATGAGCAAAAACTGTAATTGTAAAAAAGATACATTCTCTAAAGGAGAATACAAAACTTACTTTCATTCTCTCTCATTACGTCGCTAAAAAATGTGAATACTCTTACTTCTTTTATGAGCTTATTTTTTTGTTTTTGTGTAAACTACTCTGTGATTCATATTGAGAATACATTGCATTTCTCGTTATTAATAACCTCAGGGCCGACGATTTTCATTCTTTCTTACTTCTTTCTCTTGTTGTGACTATGCGATCGAACATTTATTGTTTCACTTATTTTGAGTGCGATTTTATAGCCTTAATGATGCAGATGGTGAGAAGCACATTGTCAGATTGTGTGTCTGGTGATTATTTATAGAAATGTAGCATATTGATTTGATCATTAGTCAATTTGCTTTTTAGCATATTTTGAAAAATTAAAATTACACGCATCTTTGACCTTTGTGTTAACAAGGAAATGATGATGACTAAAGTATAAGATGACATACACAATAAGATTCAATTATGTGAATAAATCTTCTATTCTGAAACAAAATTCTATTGAGGCTTAGACTGCTAGCAATAAAATCCTTATCATGTTCTATGGCAATGTTCCATTAGGGGTCGATTACTTGTGATGTCTATTAAAATATTAGTATTTTCAGACCTCCATCCCTTGCCATAAAATATTCTCTTCTAATGAGGTGTCCTAAATTCTCAGAACCCTCACCTTAAATAATATACATCATAAGTGAATAACCCCTCCGCTAATAAAAACTCGTAAAACTTAATATTATTTTCATTTGCCATCAATGTGAAGAATTTGCCAATTTGTTGTTGACTCTTTTTGACGCCTAGACGAGAAATTATGTTTCTATCTCTTTCCATCCAAAAACTCTCTTTCTCAATTTTGGCAACTCTATTCTCATAGACTTTAATAGCCTTTTGATGACTTCTCGTGGTCATCAATTTTCTTTGAATATTTCTAGCATCTTCTTAGACAAGGTTCCTATCCTGGATGATAAAATACTCAAAAGGAATTGATATAAGGAAAAGAGATTCGTTGAAGATGATTTCACTAATTAGCACTTAAAAAAATATTCTCTGTTTCAAACTCAGAATCTTAGGATGGACTTAAAAGGAATTGTCTACTGTTCAGTATCCTATCTAAGAAATCAAAGACATTGATGACGCTATTATACTCAATTTATTATTATATCTTCTTACTTGTATGATTCTTCTTGTAGCCGTTACCTGCTGATGATTTAAGGACTTCATGATAAACTTGAACATTTGTCGTAATGAATGGAAGTCGAAGTCAATACATTGATAAATAAAAAGCTATATTTATTGTATATCTAGTGAGAAATAAAAAGAAATAAATTTTAAATTGATGCGAATTCTTGCATTTTATAAAGCTTGACAATATGTCATGTGAGGTCATTTGGATTTGTTTCAAGTGTACAAAAGGAACTTGAATGTAGAGTAATAAGAATTATGTGATGCGATTATTTAAAGAATTTAAATCCAAAAAAAGTGTAAAGCTTAATGCCGGGAAACAAGTTAAAAATGTGCAGCATTTCCCTACTCCATTTCAATGATCTCTCATAAAGATAATGATTAATAAATACAGATGTAATTGTCTAAAGCGCCAGTGTCTGCCTACGATCATCATAAATGTATATGTGATGAGCTTTGAGCTTATCTTCTTCACATGTGAATTTTATTTTCACGTACAGTGCAATATGTATGTGCTTTTTTTTTCAACAGCTCAAAAGTTGTAACGCCGAAATTTACATCTTCTCTTGACACATCTTCTCCAGCAAAAAAAAGCGTCTCAACTCAATTTTTTTGCATCTCGACAACTGGTTTCTCAGTCGCTCTTGTATAAAAGACAGATTTTTTCATGATTTCTGTTTCAGTTTTTTGACGACCGTCGCGGTCCAATGAAGTGAAAGGTTTTTTTTGGCATAAAATAATTGTTAAGTGTTGTGATTTAATTAAGTCCGAAAAAAATATTGTGAGCTTCTTCAAGAATATTTTAGTAAATAAGCATTAAAGAAAGCTCTGAACTTTAAAAAAGTGTTCATTTATTTTCACGGTGAGTGTCTAGTGCTTCCGAAAATTTTATAATTAGGTGACAAAAAAAATTAAATTTTATAATTAGAACTAAAAACCTCGACAAAAATTGCGTGATTTGTGAATTCTTGTGCTGGATAAGGCCGAGTCGCCTAACATCCACAGCACAGACGTTATCATAAAAATTAAATCAACAGTGGATTTTTAATAAGACTCGAAAAGTTCTCATGCAATTTGAATTGCTGATGCCTATTTTAAAAGCATAGAAGCAAAGAGCCACAAAAATATTTATGGCCAAGACGGGCGAAAGATGGAAATACGACAATAGAAATCATAAATGAGGCAGTTAGAGAGGAAGCAGTTAATTAAAAAATTTAAAATAAATAAATTAATAGTAAAATTATGCTAAAGTCACTAAAGGACAATAGTGCTAGATGATCAAGATAATCATGACTAACCGACGTCCACATAACATTAATTTGGTTAAGAAATATTAATAAAATATTGCATAATCGAAAGGCATGATACAATGAAAAGGAGACGTTGATAGTGGTAACGAAAATGAGACGACAGATAAGCTGTAAAATTGGCACAACATTTTTTGTGCCAGTTTAGGTTTCACCTGCATGTTCATGCTGACTAGCTTTTCCCTTAAAAAAATGTATATTTTTTAAATCAATCTTGGGCTGGCTCCTCACCTTAATTTATTTACCTTTGACCCAAAATTGATTTTTATAGCTGAATCTCCAATCATTCGTTCTTGATCTCATTTTTTCATCAATCTTCATTTTTCATGAACTTTTCGAAAATATTTATTTTCACATTTATTTCGCAATATCTGTAAAGGAATTAACAATATGAATCTGGTATATTTTCATGTTTAAAAATAATTGTTAAAACGCATTGACATGGTCAATGAAACGTCTTGTTATCAGCATGTGTGAAATATATTTTTTTATTTCTGTTGGTTTATGCCTACGCTAATAGATTTTAAGGTATGTGAAATTGAAGAAATAGTAGTTCATAAAAATATGTGAAGATCTTCCAAAAAACTTGCCTAATCAATAAATATAGCAGTCGACGAGATGAAAAGACATTAGTCGATCATGAAAACAATTCACGCATTCATTTACAGAATAAACAAAAATTGTCTTTTTTCAATGAGATAAAAAAAGGCAAAGAAAGAAGTTGAAGAAAATTATGCAATAGCTTCAAATATTAATTTACAACTGCCGCAGCTAGCGTCTATTTGTTTCTTTTTCTGCTTTATTATAGCGCGCGTAGACAATATTATTTTTTTGGGTATCTCACGGGGCACTTCAGAAGAAAAAAAAACTTTCATTTTCATTACATCCATTCGCATCTTCAGCGAATATGTGTCGGTCACGGCTTCGTGTATTTTTTTCTTATTTTTGCTCAAAAAAATGATAAAACAGTGAATATAATTCACTAATTGTGCATCATCATCAACTTTTTTTATTTATTCGGACCTGCCAAAATGAGAAATGAAAGAATTATGTCACTGTCAATTACCATTATAGAGTAACGACCATTTGACATTTCAGATATGTATCATGTACATAGATCATCTATTGACTGAAGGATTCAGCATTAAAAAGGTTTTAACCAAATATTAAATAATAATTTTTCAAGACAAATCTGGAACAGCCAATAAGTCAAGCACCCCAAAAAGTAATTTTTCATAAATTTGCCAAAACCAAAATTGCCACCACAGAAAATAGGAACGAAGTCATTTAAATGACTTGCAATCTTCACATTCATTTTTCATATCCAAAAGAAATTTACCACCAAAAAAAATCAATTCGTGCACGAAAAAGGAGAAATTTCAATGATATTTTAGGAGGAAGAGCAGCATTCAATAAAAATATTGAATCACAGGCATTCAAAGCATGTGTCTTATTTATTTTAAGCGTAATCACTGTCTCCTCTATAAAAAGTTGTTATGCAAAAAAGCTTAACGCGCCTCTTCGACTTCATCAATTGCCAGCCTCTTCAATAAACAGCATTTCTACTGATAGCTAGCCTTAAACCACAACATGAAAAAATAAAAATTAATACAAAGATGAAATGTACATCTTAATGTCTTGCTCGTGAGACTAAGAGTCTAATAGTTCATGAAAAAAATTTAATTAATTCAATTAATCATATTTCTCAGTTAATCTACCTCATAGCACATTGTATATTCTTCCATCCGTAAAATCCGCTTAGGACTCACGACATTTGACTTTTAATGTAAAATTATTGAAAACTATCGCATTTTCATGTAAAGAGTATACACCTGACTAATTCGATCGTGTGATGTGTGCAACTCTATAAAACGCCTCTATTTAATTTGAAAATTACTTTGGCTATTAACCAGACTGTATAATATTTTTTTTTTTATTTAAAGTTAATTGCATTTTATGAATTGCGAGAAATCAATACGATTACAAAATAGACGTACCGCATCTATTTAACGCATATTAATCTTTTATGACTTTTCTGTGGTCAAAATCATTTTTCTCAATACGGCACCCGACATGCAAATAAAAAGCGAAGATGAGCTTTTCTTTCGAATTTCGCTACATTCCTTTGTTACTTTTTTTGTACCTATTCAATAATCTTTCATGTATTGTTGAAATATTGATCAGTGACATTTAAGCGAACGTCAAAACGTTATTATTAATAACATAATAATATGTTAATATAGTCGGTCAATTCCTTCTGAAAATCCAATCTTTATTGATTGATGGGCGTCAATTTAACCTATGGAAAATGTAAGTAGTAAAGTTACTGGATGTAAATAATTTTTAAAGAGAATTTTAAAGTTCAATTTCATTGAATATGACAACAGAATGTTCGTGCCTTTCAGAATGTGTCATTTTAATCAAATAATTATCTAGTAATAATAAAATAGATATAAAAATATTCAAATGAGTGAATAAAGAACAAGACATTGAGACATAATTGACCATTCAAGCTCTTTTGCAACAACACTGATGTACTTAAAAATAATTTAATAGCTTTATATGGAAGCAGTTGGCGAAAAATCAATAGAACGCTTGTTTACATAGAAATTCCAAGAGTCATTGAGACAATGTTAAGCTATAAGCATTAAAAAATTTTTTTTCGACACACTTGACATTCTTCAAAAATGACCATAAAACTTAAAATCAATATTTTATGACTCTACATCTTTTTAAATATGAAATAATTGTACAAACGCATGCTTCATCTCATTATTAGAAGTGCAAATTAAATTTTTATGTTCATACACTAATTACTTTCATTGATATTCACGGCAATGAATAATCTTTTTAATCTGATGTTTATTATTAATGAGTAGGTTGCCGTATATGGCGATGAGTTCTGATGAAAAAACATAATTATTATTTGTGCATATTTATCTTCTTAATTAATTACCTTTTTAACAATTTTTTTCTTATTTCCTTTCCACTTTGGCGAATGGTCTATGATGGTGATTATGCGATGATAAATACCACCGAGTTTGTACAATGACATAACGACATAATGAGAATATGAGAGTAACAATAAAACAGTATGCTTTTGTGGTCTAAGACGACTAGAGTCGTTTACTTATTATGCGCATTAATTTAGATCCACAAAATTTTCTTTCATTTTAAAGTTTCAGAAAACCTCAGAACTTAATAGACATCATAATTGAATGCCCCCAAAGCAACAGTAGTTAAACATAAACCACATCTAATAAAAGCTATAATCGTGCATATATCATCCAAAATGTGGTAAAAGAATTGAGATCTTCTTCTTTAAAAAAGTTAAAATCCGTCCAAATTTATCAAATTTTCATAATCATGTCTACACATAGTGAACTGTCTTAAAATTCCTTTCTCATTTGCAAATTTTCGTTCATCCTCCTTTGTAGTCAGTTCATTGACGTTTCACATTATGACTATATGCGAAGCTAGCAATTACAATAAAGGCAAAATTATTAGGTATAGATTTAACAAGACAATGAAAGCTGATCAGTGACATTAAAGTGATTTGTGAAGAGTACCAACAATTACCAATTGTAAATTTTAAGTAGATTAAGATTAAATAGCCATTACATATATTCAGCTTAAGGTCTCAAAAAATAAATATATATTGATTTGGACTCTTGCTTTTCATCGATGGAAGTCGTGAATCTTAATACATTTTGCATGAATTCTTTTTTTCATGGTAATTCTTGAAGTTCAAATACATTCAAGCCCGAATAAGGAAAAGGACTAGAGTGTGACATTTACTGGAACTATGTATATAAAAATATTTTCATGACTTCATTTAATCGTAAATTAAAGATTACATTTGATTTTTAATAAGGCATAAAATAATTGATAGTAAAATGTCTGTCAATAAATAAATGTGCAATAGCCATAAAAACTTTGTAGCTTCAAAATAGGAAACATTGACTTGACACTGTTGTGTCTTCATGGATTAATTGAAAATGCCTCGGATAATTTAAAATTGTTAAGAGAAGATTTTTTAAAAATTTATTACATACATTACAATCACGTTAATAAATAACGACAAGTCCACGACCACCATAGCGAATTATTTGTACATCTGATTAGATAATAGGATAAAAGCAGCACAATATAATCATTCTTTGTTATTTAATTAAACAATTTCACTTATCGGTTATCATGCATCTTCATCTTAAAGATATTTTGTACAAACATTAACGCGCGCGTCAATGATAATGCCCTACCAAACAGATGAGAAAAAGGCTTGGTCGAAACTGTCAATGACTTCATATGTCATACAATCAATTAATGTTTTTATTTTCATGTTTGGACTTTGAGCCGACATAGATGACGAATTGCTTAAATATCATTGAACCCTTTTGTTCGAAAAATGGTGTCTATTAATTTTTAGTGTCTTCAATTCCGCATAATAAAATATTTACATGATTAGAGACATTGGACTTGTAACCTACATACAGTTAACACATAAACACAGATACCACAATATTATCCAACTATAATTTACATAAAAAAATATATTTTTGTTTATAGCACTTTTTCCGATAGTTCAAAATTTCCATAAATGACTCAACATCAATCGGTAATCTGTTGATGCATGTTCAATATTAAATGATGATGATGCATTTCTCATGCATTTATGGAGATTATAAACTTCCAAATATGAAAGGAAAAGTGCCAGACATTAGGAATAGGGACTAATGAGGTTATGTTAGATGCGCAGTGATGATTATATGATTTTTACATGTTTCCTATCAGTAAACTCATTGTTGGCAATAAGCTAAACTGAAGAGAGCTGGTAAAAAACTAATTTTACATTGAATGCTTTCCTGTGACCCTCATTCAATAATATTTCCAAACAAGCTTCAGGATAATTACCATAGCATATCCTTAATTATTAAAAACAGATAAATCTTGCGTGAAAAAATAAAAGAAAGCCATTCAAAAATGCAGACAGCAATAAATAAATTTAAATAAAAGACGTAGTGGAAGCTGATGTGATGGGAAATTGCGAAATTTTATTGATATTTGAACACAGGTCATCGTCATACCTATTTTGCATATTATGAATGAACGTAAAATATTTTTTGTGCAAATAAAAGTTGTGTCATACGATGATCTACAAAAATTAAAATTACGTCCAGAGAAAATATTATCTTTGGGATTCATCAAGATGTTTAAAATAAAATTAAATGGTACGAGGAATATGCAAATATTCGCCTATAACAACCGTTTTATTAAATAAACGTTTAATAATCACATTTCAAGATTTCCGTGCTGTTCAAATGTCAAACGACGATCGAGATTTAATTTACTTATTTTTTTTGCTACTTGTTTGATGTGTGTAGTCATGAAAAATCATTTTTCAACACAAAAATCATCTTAATAGTAAAAATTTATGTATTCTTTATGCTATCGATGATCTTGAGGCTCAATTGCAATGCCATAAAACTAATAATCTCGACTTTAACATGTAAAAGCACTTTGGTCTTTGCCATCTTTCGTACGGTACACATCAAAGCTCTATGCATACATTATCTACGTGATTACTACCGAAAATATATAACGTTGTCTTCAGATTCGTGACACTATCAAGACCTTCTCCAATTCTTTTGTTGAACTAAATTGTAGCAGTGGAACTGTCTCATCTGTTTTATGAGCGGCTTAATTAGTTATAAAAATAAAGAAAAAAATAAGAAGTATTAAACCATTCAAGGCTTCAGAAGATGATGGCAATGTAAATGATTTTTATGTAGCTTGACTTTAGCGTATTGATAAACAGACACCTTTTCCCCTTTAATTTTTCAATGCATTGCTTTAAGCAAATTCGTTCATGAACACAATATTATTACTTCATGATTGAGTAGAGCCTCCACAAATTTACTTCCAAAAAAAAAAATAAATTGCTAATGAATTCTTGCAGAACTTGCTATCTTCAGCGACCGTGACTTCTTCACTTGTTCCTTATTAATCTTACTTTTTTCATTTTTCTTATTTTGTTTGGATACAAACAAGCAATCATTAATTTTTTACGCGTGATGGGAAGCCTCATCAGACGCGATATGTTTATCGCATAATCATGAAATGGGTTCAATGTCAATTTAAATTCATATAATGATCCGGTCGGCACCTTTCCATTTCACCCAATTATTGGAATGTTATGCAATGTGTATCTTCTTGTAATTGTCCTAAAGGTATGAACAATTTTTTTAAGGAAGATGATACGATGCAATCGCTTAAGACAATAAACGAAAAACACGACAAAAAATGATGAAGATAAATTTTTAAATTATAGAGAGACGAAAAAAAATGTATTATGCAACATTGCTATAATGGAATGTAATTAAAAGACACATAGCTGTTGCTCATTCGTTGTTGTTTTTTGCTTGTTGTCCGAAAAAAATGATGATAAATTTTTCACGTGTGCATGATTTTTTGGAGGTTTCGTATGTTGATTGATCATTGAAGTCTTTCGTGAATATATCAATGATAATGCTGAAGATATATCAGTTAGCAGTAGTAAAGACATTTTAAATATTGATGAGACTTATTTGACATGTTAAACACTAATAACAGTTTCTATTGTATTCATTTATTTATTTACAGATTTTAATCTAAGGAAACTGTGGAACAAAAATCAGTTGCATCATCGTGGAAGAAAAAGTGAAAATTAAAAAGATTCGCAATCGTCATTTTACTTCTTTTTGCTTTAATGACATGTCATAAAGCAAAATTGTGTTAAAAAGTAAGAGTCAATATTACACAAAATATAAATTGGAACTTGCTCATTTCTTTCTTTGTCTTTTGATCACTTATAGAAGTTGGATAATAAAATACCAAGCTATATACACAATTGATCCACTCAAATCCCAACGTTCACAGGCAATATAACTTTGTGGCGATGGTCAAGGCTGGAACTATAAAATTATTTGTACTTTTTCTCTTCATTCAGGTGAGTTTGTTTTTCATATTCAACTTTACTATTATGACATGAGACATTTGCATATTCTTTATCTTAAAAATAAACAGCATTCTTGACTTGTTGAACTGGATTCACTATTAATAACTATGTTTATTGACTTCATCTTATTCATATTGGAATATGATGCTACTATGATTCTTTCGATTGAATACACAAATGTTTGGCCTTGCCACGGTTGTTTTTGGGAATTAATCCAATAAATATGGCTTAAATGAGATGAATTAAAAGGCGTATCCAAGTGTTTGATTTTAGAAAATAGAAGTAGGAATGAAAATTAATCTCCAGAATTCTATAATAATGTCAAATGGCTATTAAATAAATGGAAGGAATATATCAACAGATTCTCCTTAATCATAGTCAGTTTTTTGCATCTCTTGGTACCGTTAATTAAAGATTGATTTTTATTTCTCTCAATATTATATTTAACGAGAAATATCTACAAATTAGAAATCATTATTGGTGCCAAAACTTTGAATGTCAAGCATATTTTCCAGAATATTAAATAAAACGATCAGGCTGAGGCAGTTTTTTGAGGTTATTCCTTCTAGAAATGAATAAATTTGAGGCTAAGTTTTGGAACAATAAATTTTAGGCATAGAATCCAATGTAGGCTTGTACAGAAATGTCAGAATGTTATCTAGTCGTCAATCTCTGGTAAATTGTAATTTTATTCAAGTTTAACTAGGCGAATTCAAAATTAGTTTTTAAGCAGTTTTTCTGGAACTCTAAAAACTTGAAGATCGAACATTTATAGACCAAAAATTTATGTAAGAACATAAGAACATAAGAAAAGTTTATCCATAAAGAGCCAATAAATATTTCATTATTACCAATTTTTTTTGTTTTAAATTCGCATTAGAACTCAATTTTAATGCTGACTAAGTTGCGAATAAAGGTTAGCTATTAGGTTCATAATAATTGTGGCACATTCGCGTGCTTGGAATATGCAAAAAAAATATTCTTCATTGTTACCATTCAAATCACTTTTTATTGCTTCATTTCAAGTTCTCTTTTTTGATTTATTTATTTTCCCATAACTTCATTCCATATTCAAAATAGTCAACGAATGAAGAATCTTTGGAAACCATAATAAGCATGCCACTTTAGCATAAAAGACATTCCGTCAATAATTATCATAAATTGTGATAGAAAAGATATGCAATCTTAAATGCTGTTATGATTTATAGACTTTAAAAATTTAAATGAACTCATTTAGCTACAGATAAAGGCACTTAGTTGAGTCAATGCAATTGACCTTTAATTTTTTTTTTGTTTCCTCATTTGACAGTTTAATTTAATGATTGCATAGGTTCGAAAAGATTCATCTGATATTATAAATATTTAATTAGTTCGTACTTATAGCCCTAAATTGATGTAGCTTTTAAACTATCAAGGATTAAACCCTTCACTTAAAATCATTGACAGCATTAATATTCACCATAATTGCTGAAATGTGTTAATTGAGTTATAAAAAAAATTAATTTGTTTGACGGATTGCATGAATCTAAAGATGAAGATGATGAGAATACGTTGAAATGTATAATCAAGTGTGCAGTCATGTCTCAAAACATTTAATGAAGTTGATATACTTTGTAGAGACGAGATTGAAGAAAAAAAAAATATTAATTTAAAAATTATTATAATGTGGGTTAATTTGCCTGTTTGCGTATTTTTCTCAGCTCATTGCACTGATGGGAGCTAATTAGGCGCAGACTCGCTTTGCATTTTAATAAAGCTACAAAACAGATTAATCTAAAATTGTGAAAAATTCAGCTCTAATCCTGATTAGTTAAAATGTCAAAAGGCTCATGTTCACAGCATTGAATCATCTGTATATCCAAGTGTCAAGGACAGATTCGTGCATATAATAAAGAAAAATGAAAAATCTTCTGTTTGATTTTGAAAAATTGCTTAGCCTTATATGATGGAATCGGATGGTTCGCTTATGACTGCTGTTTAAATAACATTTACAGTTGTGGTTTTCTATATAAGCATAAGCCTTAACTTCTTCATTGTAATTTACAGCTTATTAGCTTGAATCTGTGAATAAGATGCACTTCTGTTTTCCTTTTGTCTTGGAGCAGAATTTTTCAAGTTACTTTGTTGCTTACGATTTGGTAGTAAAATGTCAATTATAGCAATTTAAAATAGCCATAAGCTACAGTTTCATATTGATCGATAAATTGTATTGTTTATGTTAAAATAAATTTAAGCTGAAAAATTGTGCAATTGAGTCAAGTAGCCTCTATTGTCTTAATGTATCATCAAATTGGCAATTGTATGAAAACATCATTGATTAATGGCCATAAGTGAAGGTTGATTACTGTTTTACTTAATGTCAATTCATATATGCAAAAATAATGAAATAGATTATGAATAATAAGACCTTGATGCTTTGATAAACTAAATTAATTTATTAAATTCCTCATCGATGATCTCATACAATGTTGCTGAATGTAATGCCACACAACACGTCTAATGCGATTCTTAAGAGACTATTTTTCTCATTTAAGAAGGAAATAGAAGTTGATCTTGACGCTTTTTGACACTCATTTTCTTGAATGACTAGCACACGACGCACACTTTATCATGCATAACTTTAAGCGCGAAAAAGAAGCAAACAAGATGAAAAAGAAGAAGAGAAAAATGTAAGCACAGAAACTTGTCTGATTGAAAGCGAAAGTTTTAAACATTATTTTTTCTTCATCATCAACGGGTATATTCTCACATCTTATGCATATTGCCAACACTCTAACCAAAGGTGAATAAATCTTATTGCGATACGAAAATAAATAAAAAGAAGTGTCAAAGTAGACTTGTTGGATGACTGTGTTTTGTGTTTGTAGGCCTTTGGGTTTCTCGACCAATGTAAAATGTGAAAAAATGTGTACAAATTGAAAAGATTATAAGAGAGTCATCATTTGAATATACACAGAGTGATGAAAACTGGTTTCGAATAAAATTATCGAATCCGGGCATATGATTAGCATATATTGAATAACATAGTTGCCGCATTTTCTATGAAAATTTTGTTATAGGCTGGTTAGCATTAGAATAAATATTTTCGGCACTATGAAATCTATTCTTTTGGTAAACAGAAAGTGAGGCCATTTTAGAATGAGATAGATGACATAAAATATTAATTTTGCTATTCCTTTACTCTTTATTTGAATGTTCTTGAGAACAAGAGCGTAACTAGGGCCTCATTTGACTACTTGATTCCTCCCAAGACTTAAAAACTGGTAGATATTATCCTTCAAAATTATAAAACTTTGATGATTCCTGAGAAGAATAAAATATCAAGCTAATGACTTAATGATTCTTTTTTCACATTTACATTCATTTAATTATAATATTTAAAATGTAAGAATTTAGACATTCTTCTGATGTCTCTAAAATCACTTAATGTATGCAAATTTTATCCTCTTTGGATCTTTCAACTGCTTCAAAATATCAATTTAGAGTATTTCATCCTGTTTTCGCAGCAAATTTATTACAAAATATAACAAGAATCGTTCAACAGTCAATTCACTGAACCAACCAATTCAAAAAAAAATAATTTTCCACTCAATCACCAAAACAATCTTGTCTCTGACATTTTCTGGTCATCTCGATGAAAAATAAGAGTCTGTCGTGTTTAGTCAAATGAAATTATTTCAAGTCTCTTCACAAAACTTTTTATAAGTTTCCCACATTATTCATTATGTAATTTGTGAATAATGCATAAAAAATAATTTAAACGCCAAAAAAAATATGAAATGAAAATATATGGAAGAGATGTTGTGACTGATAGGTGAATATAGCAGAATGGAACTGAGAAAAACAAAACTTGCTAAATATTTGCTGAAAAGTTTTTTAATTATAAAAAGTTCGGATCATGTCAACTTAATGGTTGAATAAATATTAATTCTATTTTTTTTGGTAAGAACAACCAGAGGTGTAGTCCGGTAGGAAATGGGGCTAAAATTAACCTCAATCTGAGGAATAAATCTTAAATTCTAAATGTGTGCACACAAATCAGAGTTCTCATTTTGCAAAGTTTCCAAAGCTACCTGCCTGGTCTAAAGATGCACAAATAAAAGAATTATCAATAGCTTTATCGAAGGATTTCAAACAAAAGTCTTATTCATTAACCTCTTAACATTTTATTCAATGAAGTTATGCTTAGACAATAATTGAAATGCCATTTCGGCTTTTTTGAATCGCTTGATATTAATGGCAATATACAGGAGATTAACATAAGAGAAGCTATTTGTTGATTATTCCCACAAGTGGTTAAGATTAAACTCTTCAAGAGACATTTAACAGAAATTATGAAAGCTCCTTATAAGGAATAATATTATCTGAAAGATCCACAAAGTTCCTTAATAAAATAAAATAAACCCAGACCGGAAATTACAGAAGATACTCAAACCGATATTAGAGGTCGTCTCAATGAAAATTTAAAGAATGTAAATCTGACAGAGTTCTGCATTAATAACCACCTACTTGTTCGACAGAATGAAATATTTATCTCCAAAAATATGTGCTGTGAATATTGAACAGCAGTAACAAATGGGCAATATTTAATCAATTTGCCATTAAATATTTTTATAACTGTGAAGAATTGCTTCAAGCACTGCATAAAAAGCAAAAGTAAAATACGACTATAAATTAACATATATGCGCATCTATCTCCACATCCATCTATCCACATGTACATAATATATTGTAAATAATGAGATTGCGATTTTAAATATGAAAGAATAATAAGTGCAGCTCTGAATGTGTAGACAAACAAAAATGAAGCAAAAGTTCATCATATCGTAATGAACAGTTACTACTGCTGAACAATACATGCAGTGCAGTCACAATAGCCTTCCAGCTGTCTAGAAATGAGATGTAATATTGCATAAATGCTGTTTTGTGATTTATAGTTAATAATATACATAGTGCGAAAATTTAAACTAATAAGGTTTATTAAATTATAT